CGGTGACATCTGTGTTTGGATCGATGACGTCTATGTTTAGATCGGTGACATCTGTGGCTTGGATCGGCAACATCTGTGCTTGGATCGATGACGTCTATGTTTAGATCGGTGCATCTGTGTTTGGATCGGTGACACCTAGACATCGGCGTGACCACTTTTTTTGGTCACGGTCACGATCTTGGTCTTGATAATCGTGACCGTGAGTCACGGAAATTCTATGAATTGTATTAGTGCGATATCTTTTTGTCGCACGTATGCATATGGGATACTTGATGAAAATATTTTCTATTGGTTGAAATATACGGATCATTTTTTGTATAATAAGAGAAGAAAGGAAGCGTATGATCACCAACAAAAGCAACAAAATATATCTCATGCTATGCTAGAATGGAAATTTTAAGTGCAAATGAAAAAAAAACTTACAAAAGAAAATTTATTACAGTTGATATCAACTAATGATTCTACTATTGCTTTTATTCAAAAACCAAAACAATCGGACAGTACATCTAAAATTTGGAATTACTTCAGCATAATTCATGGTAACAACGTGAAACAAAACTACGTTTTTTGTAATGCATGCAAATCAATTATCTCATATAAAATAGTTACGGGTACCGGTGGTATGCAAAAACATATAGCATCTTGCGGTAAAATTTCAAAAAATCGTGTTGAACAAAAAGAAGCTAAAATAACACAGTATTTTAACTCGTCAAAAACCAAAGCAAAAGCTGTTTCCATTAAACAGAAAAATAAAATCACAAATGCATTAGCGGAATTTGTTGTTATTGATGGAAGGCCGTTCGAAACTGTTAATGGTTTAGACTTTACTAATCTAATCGAATGCGTTCTTACTACTGGTCGTACTCTACTTGAATCATCCAATGTGAACGCAAATGACTTGACTGCTGATTCACGAACAGTAGATTTCAAATTCATTTTTGTTTATTTGTTTCTAAGTTTTCTTTTTTAGATAAGTCGTAACATTGATAAAATGTATGAAAAACGTAAATCGCAATTAATAACTTTATGCAAATCTATCAGATCATTTGTCATCACGATAGACTTTTGGAGCGAAAGGTTTACAGGTAATTTTCATTCAGTGTTATATTTTTTTTCTTTACAAGCGCATAACGAAAAAAATTCAATATGAAAGCTAAGCTTAGAAAAGACTTTGATTCTTTTTCGTATCATTACCGTATGAAATTTTAAACCTTTGTTTTTTTAAATCAAAGTCAAACTTTATTGTTTCTATGAAAATTAAAGTATTAATTTTTCATATTCATTGTTTTATGCATTGAAGAAATATTTAATTTATGTTAAAAGACGAATTATTTGTATTTTATTCGAGTGTATTTTTATTCTTTGCTTCAATATGATCGAGGGATTCACTATGCTGGTATCTCTTTACACAATGTCGATGGAAAATTTAAGCTTCACTCATCTGCACTTTGTTGCAGATCATACGAACTTGAAAATCAAACGAGTTTAAATATTAGGAAATTTGTTAATTCTATTCTTGAAGAATTTGGTTTATCACTTGGCTTATCATCGTACATTGTTAGTGACAATGAAAATAAAATGCGTTGTGCATTCAATGATGTTAAACGTATAGGTTGTTCCGAACATTATCTCAATAAAATACTTGAAAAAACATTTACAGACGAAAAGAATATAGAACTACAAGAACCACAAAAGATGTTTCACTTGATAAAAGAAATAGTTGAATATGTTCGACGTACACATCGACAAAATAAATTAACTAAAAAATTACAAACTTTTTCTAAAACTAGATTCAATGGTGCGTTTTGTATGTTTTATGTCTTCAATGAAATTTTTGAAGAAATACCGCAAGTACTTAATATAAAGCACCTTCTTTCTTATTCTCTTATCGACAAGCAACTTTTAAATCAACTGTGTAATTTTCTTATTCCTTTTGATGAAGTTATCGAGAAGCTTAGTGACGAACAGCGGTCCAACTATTCATTTGGTCTTACCTCTTCGTCAACACTTAATAAAATGTTGTATTGTTCACGAAGACGATGAAAGTTGTTTAATTGCCATAAAGAAATTCATAGGTATTTAAGTTAATCATTTCATTAGTTATAGAACGATTAGTTCGTTTTCGACTTATTACACTTTGATAATAATAATCATCCTACTTTTCTTTAGAGAATCAAATCATGACCATGTGGATTCCGCAAGATGAACATTATCTGGCCACCATACTTCACCCAAACTTCAAACAGTTTGATAAAAACCCATATGATAAAAGTACAGCGATGAAGTTACTTCAAAATGAAATTAATAATCAAACAAAATCACTAAGTTCTTTAGTTTCACTGGATGCTTCCTGTTCAACATCTATTGCAACTACTGTTTCAAAAGTTTCTTCAGAAGAAAATAATGTAGAAAAAAGAAAGAAGAATCTTTTGTCTTTATGTTTCGATGATCGTAGGCCATCAATGTCGAATATGGATGAATTTACTTCATGGATGAGTTGCAACTTAACATTAGATGATAAAGAAAATGATGATTTATTAGGATTTTGGTCAAAAAACAGCCTGTCTTTTCCTATTATTTCAACTATTGTACGTGATATTTTCGCTATTTCAGCATCGAATACAACTGTTGAGAGAACTTTTTCAATATCAAAAAATCTTATAACCGACAAACGAACAAGATTAGGAACAGAAAAAGTTAATCAAATGATATTTCTTAGAAAAAATCTTATTACTCTTAAAGATTTATTCGATCATGATCACGACAAACATGAACTTGAATCAAATCATGATAAACGAAAGAATGATGATGCACCTGCTGAATCACTTGATAAAAATAGTAAAAAATCGAAAGTAGATGAAAATGATGAGATTGTTATCGATGAAGTAGAAAACAATTTTTAGTATAATATTTTTCTAAAATATGTTTGTTAAATGTCGATAATATGTTTTGTAATTATTGATGTTAGGGAGATTCACTCTAGGTTATTTACAATCACCTGCTTTTGTTTATCGTATGTAACTGCATGTTGAGCAAATTCGTTTCTAATATTTCAAAGAACTTCAAAATTAAGCACTAAATGTTGAAGTCTTTTGAAATATTAGAAACGAATTTGCTTAACATGTAGTTATATAAGATAAACAAAAGCTGGTGTTGGTAATTTAAAGTTTCGTACTTTGTAAATATTTTTTGGTGGTGTGAATTAATGCGCTTTCTATTGATTATATTCACTTATTTGCTTCATTTTATAAAGTAAAAACAAATTTTGATATACGATTAAAGAGCTATCAAATTCCTATCAAATACATTCTTCGTGACCAGCCGTGACTGTAACCGTGACCGTGACCGTGAAAACCGTGACTCACGGCGGTCACGCCGATGTCTAGTATAGATATAAGAATATCGAAATATGGATACAGAGATAAGGGAAATCCCAACGGTAAACCATTTAAATCATGGGACACCTTATACGTAGGGCAGAACCTTTTTTGAAGAAAAATCACATATGGTTTCTTTATTTCTTTACTGAACTTTTTTTCAGTCAGAACCCTTTTCGAGGGTTCTGCGTTTTACCCGATACCAGAACTCCTAAAAGGTTCTGTAAAACTTCTTTTTTTTCTTTCAGAGTAGACGGGAATTCCTTTTAATTCCTGAATTGTGTTGGAAGTGGTAAACGGAATCACCGGAATTATATGCAATGGGTTTCGTGAGCGGAACTAGTTCCAGAATGTTCAACATTGCGGAATAGGATGTATCCTCTTTTTTACTAATACGCCCAGTGATGCGCAACTAGAATATGATTTTTGAATTTGCCCTGATTATAACGTATCATTAATGATTGTCGAAATGTGTTGTTGTTTAATTGGATCAGTACGATAAACATGTGAATGAATTGAAAGATTTGATGCAGTATTAATCATTGGTGGAGCAGAAATTTTAGTAAGCGAAGGTGTTGATGTATCAAATTTTTTTATATTTAATTAACAATTGATAAATTTCGAGTTTCTCATTTTTATTTTGAATATGATCTAGTAATTGGTCGAAGATCATTTCTGTTGAATCATGTTTATTAATTTCCAGTTATTGTTGCTTATTTAAAAACGAACGATCATTAGCTAAACATGAATTGATAGTATAACAACGAATATCGGAAGGTTGTGTGGTAAATTGACCAATATTAGTATGAATGGGTATTCGACAAATTTTATTTGCCGAGTTAGGAATTGTATCGTATGTTTCATAATTTTTTATAGATAATACGGCATTGGGAATATCGATAAGTTTTTTATATTGAAGATTATGATTTGAATGAAAGACAACATTTGAAAAAGATGAAATAGGTGATTTAAGTCGAACAATAGCTTCATGTTGTGGTTCTAATATAATGGTATTAACTAACTTTAGATCAAAACTATGCTTGCCCATATTACTGTCCATCCGTATAGTAGTTGATGATCTTGATCTGTGTATAACAATTAATTTAGTTGATTGACAAATGTCGACTGCATATTTTCTTATCCAATATTGACCTAATATACATAATGTTGATAAAGATTTTGATATTCGTGCAGTAATTCTAATTCAATATGTCCTATTTGAATATAAATTTCAACTTCTCCAATTGTATCTACTGTCGTATTCCAATCGACCAATGTATACTTACCTTTAATTCGTTTGATTATATTATGTCGAATTTTGAATAATGCTGACGTATGGATAAAAGTATTGCTAGCTCTTGTATCTAAAAGACATTATAACCGAATACCATTAACCGGAGCTGTGATAAATGTGAGTGACTATGGATTTAATGTTATAATCGTTTCAGAGGGCCCACTGCCTGGCACTTCTGCTATTTTTTTTATATTTTTTTTGTTGTTGACCACTTGATGAACTTGCAGTATATTGTTGACAATAACGAGCAATATGTTCAGATTGGCCACAGTTATAACAATAAGTTTCCAATTTTTCTGAAGAATAATTTTTCTGATAAGTAGATCCATGTGGTTGATTGTACATTTGTTGCGATTGAAATGATTGTGATGTTGGATATTGTTGGTTCTGATTAGATTCAAATTGTTCATATAAATAATCATGTTGAACTGATGACGGATAATACATCGGTTTTGCCGTATAATTGTTTGATCGATGATGCGGTGATGATAACTTGTTGTTATTGTTCATTATGTTTGATACTTGAGTTGTTTGATCAGGTATTAATTCGATCAACTTCTGAATATTTTCCAACTGTTGTGCTTTTGTCAAAAAATCGTATGGTGTCGAGTAACTTTCTTTAATAGCTGCTTGATATAATGATAATTTTAATCCATTAGTTAATTTACGAATTTCTTGTTTGCCTGAAATATGTGGATGATATTTCTTACATAAATCTATGATATCATAATAATACTTGCTGACGGATTCATTTAATTGTTGCTTTCGTTGATCGGATTGTTGTTCAATTAAATATTCGTTCTTTTCAGCAAATTGTGTTATCAATGCTTGTTTGAATATTGACCAACTAAATATATAATGTTTCTGATCTGTCCATCATTTATACACATATTCTTTTAAAAATGCGGGAGCATATGGGAAATATAAGGTTTCTTTATCACCTGATATTTGTGCGATGTCAAAATAATGAATAATACTATCGAGACATTTGGTAATATCATCAGTGGAATGATTGCCATTGAAAGGCTCTACAAAATCTTTTATCTGTTAAAGTGGATATGTGTTAACGATCACATGAATAGGTATCGTAGTTAAATTGTAATATGGTATTTGTGTTGTTATTTTCATTGACTGCTGTTGAGCAAATGAACATGGCGGGTCGGACTGAGCTGTACGGAACGCATGTAGTTGTTGTTGAGATTGTTTTACTTTCATAAGTTCTAATTCTGTTTTGTTAATCGTTCAATTTCTAATTTTATAACATAAATTTGATCAAATGTTGTACTTGGTGTTAGTAGGTGTAATGGCGTGTACTGTAATTCTTCCGAATTTCGTTTGTCGTTCATGTTTGAATTGAGTTGTAAAGGTTGCGAAACTGATGCATTTGCTTGCAAATTAAATCCTTGAGAATACGTTGACAAAATAGATGCACGATGAGTTTCTTCAGTATCCGCAATTGGTGATGGTGGACATAATATATTTTTTATATCATGTGGCGTCAACGTTTCTCGAGCAGAATGCATTGGTGGCGATTGACCAATTGCATGGGATTAGTCAATTATTAATGATTGATATTTTTCAGGAGATAATGTTCATTGCGACATTGAAAGGCGATTTATGAGCGGAATTATTAATGACTTGTCGATCTGTTTATTAAATGGTACATGTTCTTCTTTATGTTGTATAATATGCGATTTCAACATTATGTTTTCTTCTTTACTGTTGTTGGGTTGTGGTGAAATATGAGTCGTTGTTCTTGGTTGATCTAAATGCGATGATGCCATTGTTTGTGTAAAAGGGATCAATGAAAGGTCGCTAATTGTTTGATGGATCTTGGTCGTACTTCTTGTTGAATAACAGTGAGGATTTGACATACAAAATTTGCTTGATAATAAGAATAGATCTGAATGATCAGGCCCTACTATTTATTATGATGATGTTTCAACAATAAATCGGCTAGTGCACCAGTCAGATTTCTCGTTATCACGCTCTACTTCAACTTTCTCGCTTTTTGTTAATTTGCCTAGCAAAACGAAAAAAGTAAACAAAGAAGCAAAAGATCATAACTCATAAAATAATAGAAGAACAAAACCAAAGAAAAAAGAAAGAAGATCATAAAATGGATTTATCTCCTATCCTAACAGCATTGATCAAGTAAAATCAAGAAGATGCATATCATTGCAATTGATATCAATATCACTGAACGCATCCCTAGTCGAACATCTGATAAGTAAGATCTTAACCAAAATCTTGAGTACAGATAAGTGAACATATCTTGAATATTTAGGTACAAGACAATCGTATTATCTTGTACCCAGATCTTACTACAGATCTTAAGTATGTATCCATAAGATCTTGTAAGACATATTTTGAAATCATGGTTCGAATCTATTATACAACGTAGTTTTTAATTTCTTTTGTAAATGCAGGTTTTGATATTTTCAATTTATTTTGATATTAATTATTTTTCTCCAGAAGGACTCAAGCGAGTCAATGCTGGAATCTGACCGGCTTTAAATTGGTCTGAGACCCGTCAGACCAATTTAGGGTAGTCCTCTCTCGATCATTGATCGAGATCAACATTCTCTCGAATGATCGAGAAATTGTTTAAAAAGAAATTGTTTTTGGAAATTGATGTTTCGTGTGTTCAATCATATTGTTTATATATAGCTCGTGAATGCATAAAAACACGGCGAATGACTAGATAACCTATGTAAATATACTATAATAATGTCATTTTCTGTTTTACGCAAGACCTTGTGAGAAGATAATAGTAAACGATATCTTTTCCATGATCTTGTCAAGATCTTAGGTACATAGATCTGATACGACAAGATCTGAACAAGCGAATTGCCTTTTAAAGATCTTGATAAGAACTTACTTACCAATCCCGAGATTTTAAGTTTTTGCTTACAAGATGTTTCACTAGGGATTCAATCTTCATCGATCAAAAGTTCATTCTGATTTCAGGTATCAAAAAATAATTCACTAAAAAAATGAAACATTTGTTAGAACGCATCACTGTCATATGAGTAAAAGTCAGGCAGTATCATAAAAGAATTCACTTTAGTGAGAAGATCTCTTATCTGTAAATAAACCAAAATTGCGTAGTGGCGTCATCTATTTTGATGACGAATGAACAAGTTTCAGTACTTCTCCAACAGCTTATATTGTTGAATAAGAAAAAAAAAATCTTACATTTTAATTAATTATTCATTTGAGTCTATAGGGATTGAACTCTTATCTTTCTTAAGTCACCTTTTTGCTGTCTCATAGTGCCAAGGTAAACAAGAGCATATATTGCCTGAGATCTTTACGAGTACAGGTGAGTGTCGCTCACGCACGTTATTACAAAACATTTTCTCACAATGAAGGTAGAATTGCAGAGAAATAGAATACTAATACTTTCAATCGAATATTCTTCTGTTGACTTCATTGATATATGAAAATGTGAGTGAGTAGAAAGAGACGTGCTCTTTCAGAAAACTGCAGCTTCCTCCGTGAAGCAAATGATAATTATCACTTGGAAGAAACAAGAGAGATATTTTTTGACTTTGACACGCCATTAGATTAGTCATTGTCGTCCGATCTCTTCTTTACCATTTGATCAAATAACGAGAAGGTGTAATCCACTGAAAATACAAGAACTATTTGAAAAGAGTTTATCAGGGATTATAGTATATGCCCTTTTCAATAACGAGTAGAGTTATGTGTTTTCAACTGTTCTGTTGTTACTTCAATCTTATGCATAATTCTAGGTCATAATATGTACTTCTAATAATGAGATTCGATTCAGTTTGATTGTCATATAAAATTATAAGCCGCATAGATTATCATGGAGTTTACGATCATGAGGTGCTGTATAAGGCTGCAATAAATTAATTCGCATGGTCATGGTCTATAGTAATTATAAATCTTTTTTTCAACGTATGTAGTTAATTACGATCGTAACATTTCCGTTGATAGAGTGGTGAAATCACTTCTCATAATTTATACAATGAAACTCTCAAAGCTTCGAAACGATTAGTATGTCCGTGTAGAGATAGTGACAAATATTCTGAAATTATACTACATACAAGTGCGTATTTCCAATTATACTATTCTTCTTGAGATATAAGCATATAAGTTTTCTTTGAAATAGAATCAAGGGTTAAAAATTACACCATTGGAACATTAATAACTTGATTGAGACAAGCGCTTCATCTTCATCTACTACTCGTAGACGCAGTGTCCTTGAAAGTGTTGTATTTTTTCAAGTTTCATTCATTTCAGTGCCTATTTTAGATATTCTAATGATGGATTCATTCATCCATTTTTATATTACAACTATTTTTTTATCAGTTTTCTTTCTTATTAACACACAAAGTGATCCTCTTTCTACTTTGGAATCAACTATAATTTCTCATGGTGGACAAGTATTACGTATAACTGATTCGCAGTACAAAGCAGCAGCTACTCTTCATAATAGAGCAATACAAACATGGCCTGAGCTCATATTACGTCCTGCCACTCATGATGATGTTTTATTAGCACTTTCAACACTTTCGTCTCTTAGAATACCTACTCGTATAATGGGAGGCCGACATAGTTATGGTGGTTATTGCAGTCATCAAGGTATAGTTCTGGATTCTGCACTTCTAAAAGATCTCAAAATTGATTGGGAAACTGAAACGATAACTATGGATGCAGGTGTTATATGGGATGAGGTTTATAGAGTTTTAAATGGAACTGAATATGTTATCATGGGTGGATTATGCCCAACGGTAGGTGTTGTAGGTTTTACATTAGGAGGTGGTTACAATGCGATGTACAGTCGTTCGTACGGTTTTGCATCTGATAATGTTCTGAAGTTTAAAGTAGCATTATATAATGGAAGTGTTGTAACAGCATCATCTGAAATTAATCCCGATCTATATTGGGCACTTCGGGGAGGTGGAGGAGGAAATTTTGGTTATGTTCTACAAATGACACAAAAAATACATCGAATCAATGAAACACATATGCCCAATGGTCAATTTACATTTTTAAATATTACTTGGATAAATGTAGATATTAAAATAGCTCTTAATAATTGGTTGACATTTTTAAAAGAAGTTGCTGATAATGATATTCGTATTTCTTTTAATGTCATTGTGGCTGTTAACGGAGAAAGCAACTTTCTTATGATGTATTGTTCATTCAATGGACCATCAATAGAGATTGACACAGTGTTCAATCTATGGTTGTTAAAAGATCCAAAACCAACATTTAACAGCATGTTTAACTATACACAAAATGATATCAGTAGAGTATTGGCTATTCCATTTCCTGTGGTGAACCGAGAACATGTTTTGTCAGCTATGGCTATTAATATAACAGAAGCTATGCTAGATGTTATTTTAGATTTTCAACCGAATTCCACTGCTGATATTGGATCATGGACGGAACTCATTTATCTCCATAGTGCTACCAAAGATAAAAATACAGCCTACGCTTTCCCTGATATTTCATTTGATATTGCTCCAGGTGTTTCATGGAGAAATCCTGATAATGATCCTTATGCAATAGACATGAGTGAAAAATTTCTACAAAAATTAATAGATGCAGCAGCACCAACAAAAAGCATTGTTGGAGCATATCTTAATTATATTGATCCATATTTACCAAATTGGCAAACAATGTACTATCGTCATCATTGGGATCGCCTACGAGAGATTCAAACTAAATGGGATCCGACATGGTATTTTCGGTTTCCACAGGGCATTCCACCTTACAATCAACAGTCAAATGCCTATAAATTACCTAACAAAAATAGCATGGTTATTATTAGCAGTTTTATTATTTTAGTATGGTTTTACTGAAATCCTTTATATTTAATATATCTCTTGAAAATTCACAGACAATAGAAAAACAAATTCAATGTATATGTACATCAATAATTTAACTGAAAGTATTGATGTATTGATGATTTATTATGAAATCATAAGGATTCAATATTCGTTGTGTCAAAATATTTTTCTTCAATGATCCTTTTTATTTTTTATTTTGTCTTTTGAATAAATCTAAAACATCGAAGCTAGTCTGTCATCAAATGGATTTTTCTTATACTTACGGTTCGAAGATTCAGCACACGCCTTACGAATAACGCAAGTTAATTATGACTGAACGAAATTCTGTTCACTCTTTTCCCTCTATTCATTTCGCAACCACACCCACGCCTCAGCTGTACTGATGATTGATTGAATTTTTCATAGATATGTATAGAATTATCCTTTTCTAATAGTTCTTGAATTTTCATCGTAGAAGTAAAGATTTTCGTTAGGAATTTTTCTTCGTCGATTAGCCAAGACAGAGAAACCACTCCGAGACAAAATAGATGTTTGACATTCACCTAGAAGATAGAAGTCTGTAATAACTTTCATAAAACCATTCGAAATAACGGACGCTTGACCATTGGCTTTATCAACATGAAGTATTGGGCCAACCACAGTCATAGATGACTTGGGGAAATGACGCAAGACTGTTCCAACCGCTTCACTACTGTCGGATGTGACAAAGACCAATGGTTTGGAGTTGTTATTCGCCGAATATGTATCAACAAATTTTAGCATGTCTTCTGCTGTATGAACTCTGACTGGAAAAGCACGATCAGATGGATTCGACGGATTTTTACCCATGCGAATGTGTAAACAGATGAGGTGCCGACGATGCGATTCAATCAAGATTTGTTCGACACGATTTTGAACAGACGCAGTCGGTTTAAACAAAAAATCAAAAACAAGAGGAAACAACGTTTCCATAGTCGCTTCAACAAGGGGAAAACGTCCAAGTAGTATTCGAGAAGCATTTGATGCGAAGGGATTACGAAATGCCGATGCCACAAAATCACCGTTTGTCGATATCCATATTTCCTCATAGGTAGACCAAATTGTGAGAAAATCATGGTATGTGATTATGTGTGCCATCGATATTTCAGTCTTGATTGGCCATGCAGGCACTTCCTTAATTGTTAAACGACTATGATTGGTTGACTGTTTATGAGGTACATATATCCAATCAACAAGACTTGGTAGAAGTGCTTGGGTCACCGGGCAAGGATAATTCATGTCAATCATGAAACGACGATTTAACAATCGAGCGAGAATAAAGACTGAGACAATACCACGCAATCGATCACTAAAACCACCACAAGACGATCGGCACGAGTAAATCATCGTCTTACTCGTGTGACTACCCATTTTGAATGCACTCAAATTCAGCAATGAATCATACTGCTGATACAATCTGACTAGACGTGCATTATTTCTCTGTGATAGTGACAATGATTTCAGTCTAATGATGGTTTGACTTTGAAAAGAGACATCATACAATGGTCGAATGGCGATAAAGAAAGTAGCTACAATGCCGACAATGCACGAGACGAACAAACCGTGAAACCAACGCATTGAATGAACAGCAAGAATCATCCAGCAGAATAATAAAAATTCATGCGATCATTTCTGGTACTTGTGCAATTGTAGTGAAATCAACAGAATAAAGATCAACGACAATAGAGGCATCAACAAGTACAGGATGCTTATTCTGCCGTCAGCGACGTGTCACTGTGAGTATGTCGACGGATTGCTGTCATAATACCAGGAACGAAACCTACCTGCAACATGAAAATAAAGAGATGTAAGACAATATTTGAACAGAACTTGATAAAACTTTATTTAATATTACAATATAATGATGAGAGTTATTTTCATTTTTCTAAAACGATGTTCCAAGTACAGGAGCATTTTAAATTTTCTAATGGTTATACTTGTTGGATCTTTAAGCTTATCATTTTTTTTCATCCTCCTGTGATATCTCGATAAAACTATATATTGACTACACGTCTTATAGTCACCCTCGATACATAGTGCTTTTTTAAAATAATCTCATAGTCATTCAAGCACCGAGAACACAACCATTGACATATCCTTAAGGTCATTATACTGATGTAATAGGATAATACTTCTCATGTGTATCAGACAAAAATTCAAAATTCAAAATCTACAAATCTACAAACATGTGCCTCATAATGGTATCTAATCATTACTAAAGCAAATTTTAACCAACTAGTTCGATCTGAACAGTAGACCAATAACTGAAAATTGTCTTTTAATAAAATAATATTAATAGCAAGCTATTGAAACAAGAATCAATACCTTTATGATTATAATGTAATTTTAACTTGATATGCGATATGCTTTATTCAAGCAGCGAAGACAACGTACATAGATCAGTGGTCAAAGCAGCAGAGGAAAAATGAAACTATTTTACTGTTCAATGAACAATCTTTGACCCGAATCGAAAGCGCAATATGATACTGACGCATCAATCAACTCTATAGAAAGAAGTAAAAGAAAAGAAAGAAAGCAAAGATGAGTATACCGAACTGTACGTGAAGAAAACGTTGACCAAGTTGCTCAATAAAACAAAACGAATAGCATCCGATAAGTATTATTGATCCTCTACTAAAATAATATGATCGGATTAGACTGATGACAAACGATAGTACGATATGCCATGTGTGCATGCGACGCTGGTCTTTTTGCCTGCTGCTATATAGTGAATAAATGACAACTTCAGTATGTTTCATGAGAGAAGCAGCAAGGAATTATTAATAATTCAAGTATTCATACAGCGTTTTATCATGATATCAAAATTATTGGTATGACAGTGTGTTTTTATCTACAAGAGCGCAATCAATATATGAAGACAGAAAACTGATAAAAATCGATTATACTTAAGTTATACGTCACGTATGATCTATTGAATACTATTCGTGTGAAAAAATAGATTGACCCGACCCAAGCTCAAATATCTTCTAAGAAAGTTCAGTCTTGAATTCTATTATTCTTATTATCATTCTGCGATTAGAAATCAAATATATCTCCTTCGACAACCCATAATTGAGACAGTATTCGTGGGTGTGCTAGAACATCTCATTATAATTCTTATATTTTTCTCATATATCAAATCATCCACTGTATAGTAATCATTGAACAGACACTATACTCACTATGCACCATGAAGCCAAAACAGTAAAGAAATTAGGTCAAATCGAAAAAAAAGACCTCTGCAAAAATTAATTTTCTTCATACAGTATCTTGTTATTCTCTTTCTCTCTTAGAAAAAGTGTACACGGAAGAACATGAAAAATGCCTTTTCTACCGGGAAAATGTTCAGACGGTAGATTCATTTCGAAACCCAACATATTTCTAATGCTACCTGATATACCATCGTCACAAACATTGGTGAGCGTGTTTGATATGCAGTTCTTACCACAGCAGGCACAGAAACAGAACAAAGAAATGTTATCTCATACGAAAAATTGTTTGGCCTTCGTTATTTTTACTCCTTGTCATTATTGAATTGCATAAGATAACAAAGTGTGCCTATTTTCCATGGACAAACCGTCATCCGACACCAGTGTCTATCAACTTCATGGTCAATATTCTCTTCGAGTTATCTCTAATTCAAGTCAATTTTTAACCGTTCAACTTTATTCGAATGAGCTTTTATCAAGAACAGTTTCATTAAATGATAATCAATGCTTCGTACTGAGCCATCGTCTATGCGAAACAACTTACGAACTTTATGAATTGTTAATCGATTTACTACAAACTTTAACATCAAGTATTCGTGTAACTGTTGATGAACATCTCGAAATATCGTTTCCAATACATTTTGGGAGCCAGAATCATACAAAACTATGGTCCTTCAAGGTTATATTTCCTTCTGTCTCGTCGACCAAAACAGATTTATTTGATGAAGCCTCATTGGATCCACTCGATTGGAATGAAACACGAGCTTTAGGTCATCAAATTATGGATGATATGATCGACTACTTACGTGATGTTCGTCTCCGACCAACTTGGAGACCGATGCCTACATCAGTGAAAGAAACTATTGCAAATAGTCAACTTCCATTGAAAGGTCAGCCAGCTTCAGAAGTTTACGATGAGATTCGCTCAATTGTTCTTCCATACGCTTTGGGTAATATTCACCCTCATTATTGGGGTTACGTTCATGGAACAGGCTCACCAATCGGAGCTCTGGCCGAACTTATTACTGGTACAATGAATACAATGTCGTGGGGTGGTCATCAAGCGAGCATCTACTTAGAACGCCAAGTTCTATCATGGCTCAAAGTGTTGATGGGATTTCCTAATGACGAGACAAGTTCAGGTGTTCTTTTGAGTGGCACATCCGTAGGTACTATCATTGCTATGACAGTGGCTAGAAAAAAATTTCATGGACGAAATATGATTATTTACACCTCAAAAGAAGCACACAATTGTGTTGCACGAGCTGCTAATATTCTGGGTATTACCGCAGAAAATCTTGTAGTTATTCCAACTAATGAACAAAGACAAATCGACTTGCAAGTATGCTTCATTTGAGAGAGAAAAAGCATCTGCAGTCACTGTCATTTTAGGCTTTGAAAGCAAGGATTGATCACAATTCTGGAAGTTTTATTGTTGGTTCGGCAGGTACTGTTGGTACCTGTGCTATTGATGATTTACAAGGTTTAGCCGATCTATGTGCGAGTCGCCCAAATGATCTTTGGTTTCATGTCGATGGAGCCATTGGAGCAGTTCTTCGTTGCTCGATACGATTTCGGTCGCTACTCACAGGCTTGGAACGAGCTGATTCAATTGCATTTGATCTGCATAAATGGCTTTTTGTTCCATATGAATGTGGTTGTATTCTTGTGCGTGATGGTAAACTACACCGATCGGCTTTCGCACAACCACAGGCATCCTATTTAGCTTTGATGGAGGGTGGCATTACGCCTAGTCAAGGTGAAATATTTTTTGGTGATTATTCTTTGGAACTTTCACGAAACATGAAAGCATTGAAAGTATGGATGACATTGAAAACTTATGGCGTTGAAAAACTAGGTCAAATTATGGAACAAAATGTCGAGCAAGCAAAATATTTTGGTAGTCTAATTCAAAAAAATGCGAAAGAATTCGAATTACTGGCTAACGTAACCCTGAATATTGTCTGTTTTCGATATATCGGTTTACCTCATCTTCATGATTCCGATAGAGAGGACACTTTAAACAAGTTTAACAAGCGTTTATTGGTAATGATACAAGAACATGGCGTTGCCGTTGTTTCTCCCTATTCAATCAATAAGAATTCGTTTGCCTTAAGAATGTGCATTACAAATCATCGTACAAAACTCTTGGATATGGACAGATTTCTAGAGGAGACCATCAAACTCGCTCATGAGCTACTTGACACTAATGACTTCAAGTTAGTTACAGAGACATGATACTTGTGAATGAATTTTCATGGCATTCTGAAATCAACAAGCACGGCTGAACATCAAATGTTGACACAGTTTCATCATATTTTTGAATTATTCGAATAAATTCATATTTCAAAAAATGTCTTTTACTAATTGATTCAATGTTACAAGTATAGAACACATCGAATAAACGGAATACGATGGTTTCGAAATCTTTTTCTTTTACCTTTTCATGTATTGATGTTATAAAACAAAGATTAAAATAACTAATTAAATACGACATAAATTTCACAGCCATCAATCAGTATATGAATGATAGTTCTATTAAAATTTGCAATATCTGCCCGATCTTATATTGATCTGCTCAAAAATTGCCATAAATTATGAAAGCCTGCTTGATGGATTTATTAAAGAAAAAATGCTGAATAAATATTGATTTCATTTCGTCAAAAGAAAATTAATCGTATTGAACCAAATATAAAAAATATAGCGATGAAATTGTTTTTCTAACTGTTCTTTAAAGAGGAAAAACATTTGCTTTTTTGTAGACTATTAGTTAATGTGTATGGATTAATGTGAGCCCTGTTGAAAAAGCTCGTTTCATCTTTGAAAATGGAAAATTGTCCGAGAATTGTGCATTTCAAGAATACATTTTGCTTAACATTTAACTTTCATCTGATCTGCTGTGATAGATGTAAACTGGTCTAGAATTCTCCATGTCAGATTCATGTTTTTAATAAATGACTGCATGAATGAAAATATAACAACCAAGTAACAAGCAGTAAGTAGTCGGTTTCATCGCATCAATCACCTATACAGTTGTTGATGCGAGCAAACTTATCATTCAGTAGGTAATCAATGAAAAGGAGCTATTTTTTTAGTGAAATGCGTATGTTTTTTCTTTCATTCCTTCATTTTTCTTTTCGTTATAAAAATAACATGTGCGTGTTTCCTGGCCATATCCTTTTCTTCTGTTATTTCGATCAGCATATTTTTATTTCTTCATGACTGATACTATTCGATGTTATTGCATGCATTTGATCGCTTTGCTAATAGGCGAAGGCTACATGTTTTATCTGGTTTTATTCTACACATTCTCTGTAATATTTTGCTTTATTTCTGTTTTCTGATAGACATATATGAGTGAGAATATGGAGACCCAGCCACTTTTTGGAAAAGTTTTTTTTTCGATCTTTTTTCAGTCGAAATTTCCGGTATGTTGTAGAAACCACTTTTGATGAAAAAAAAATGGGTACTTGTATCCGAAATTGTGGGAGATCCAGAGTATTCTTTAGGAACGTCTCAGCTTTCTCATGCGCACTCAACCGTGAAAGTGCGAGAGTCTCAGAAAAGTTTCTACAGAGTCTATTTTGTAGAACATTTTATGTTGGTCATTTTGGTAAAAACACTTTCATTTTTCGTCGAAAAATAACGGAGATACAGTCAAAATACTAAAAGCCATAAAATTTATCAACACTCTGAAAACACCAAAGGAATATATTGAGAGCTTGTCCAATTTTTATGGCTTTTAGTATTTTGACTGTATCTCCGTTATTTTTCGACAAAAAATGAAAGTGTTTTTACCAAAATGACCAGCATAAAATGTTCTACAAAATAGACCCTGTAGAAACTTTTCTGAGACTCTCGCACTTTCACGGTTGAGTGTGCATGAGAAAGCTGAGACGTTCCGAAAAAATACTCTGGATCTCCCACAATTTCGGATACAAGTACCCATTTTTTTTCATCAAAAGTGTTTTCTACAGCATACCGAAAATTTCGACTGAAAAAAGATCGAAAAAAAACTTTTCCAAAAAGTGGCTGGGTCTCCATATTTTCACCCATATACCATCTATTCTGAAAGAGGATAGTTCACTGCATCTTTCTATAGTGAAGAATGAATTTCCATTTTCTGAGGCGGAAGATTAGTTCTTAAATACCGCTCATCACATAAACTTAACCTAATTGGTAACACGTATATTCTCTGGTTGTATACTGGAGAAAACTTTTTACGAGGTCAAAAATAAAATCTTTAAATAAGTCGAATCCAATCATGGTTTTGTTCTAAAATATTCGTACTAAAACTTTCAATGAGATCATTTGATGATCCTGTTTGCTTTTTCGTAAGTGATGTTAAAATAATGGTTGCTCCATACAGTCCAACTTCAAACTAAAACGAACACAAGAATTCATTTTTTCCATTTTATCTATTTGAATTTTTGAATAAGAAAATCCAGTCATAGACAAGACTAGGGATGCACTAATTTCACTTCTGATTCTTGGCTTCGAATCAGTTAAAATTTGTTTTGATTAGAGGTAGAAAGCTATCGTCCCAACACTAATCACTCCATGAATTACTTGGTAATGGAATAACAACAAAACTCTAGATTTTATTATTTCATCCAGCAGCAGTGTTTTTAAGAAACTAGCAAATTGCTATAAAGTTCGACCAATAGCGTTCGGGATCGAAGGATTCAAAACGGGGAAATTCGTTTTCGTCTCGCCTCTTTTTTACGCGCTATGGCAAAATAATTTGGTTACGATCTCCTGACATGAACAAAAAGAGATGGTGCTCGGAAAGGAGTTCGTAAATAAAATGCAACAAAAATACAGGGTGTTCGGAATGAAGCCTGTGAAGGTGTTCGTAATGACAAAGACAGAAAGACCGTAATAAAAAAGAGACACTATTTTTGTCAGCATGTTCAGTTTGGTTCACCTATGAGAGAATATGAAGTGATACGCTAGAGTGGAAATATAAAATCATGTATAAAGCGAATGTTCCGATGAATTCAAGCAATAGTGATTGCACTTCTGTTTACTATTATAACTCTAGTTTTAGTGATTATTCTCCTTATACATTCAATACATTCTCTATTACAAATACCAGTTCTATTGAAAGAAAAGCAATACATATTTATTCGTGACTAGTGTTAATGTACATTATCATTCTATTTATCCTTCGATGAATGTACACGTTTTTTGAACCTAGTGGTTTGTTTACTTTTCGATATTTTAGCAATAAGACCAGGTTGAATTGATGATGCGCAAGATGAAGACGGAGCAGTAGTAGAATGGTCGTTGGGTCTAACTCTAAGACGATTCGATATTGGAGTTGAAAGCAAATAGGATGCAAGAGCAGCCTGCTCTGTTGTTGCTTTCGACAACTGTTGTTGTTTAATCAACTTATACCCTTAGGAACAACTTCTAAAACTAGAGCCCAAAGAGTATAGATAGACAAAGAATAATCGTCTACTTATATAATCTTGCATGTAATCAAAAAATGCAAGCTATTATATTATTGCCTATAAGGACAGAAAGTCCTTATTTCAGTTACAATGTCCTTATCAATTCTTTTACGAACTCCATATTAAATTACCCTTAGAATTAACTTCCAAACAACCGACCGTGTTCATTACGATCTTCAGGTATTACATTAAGTATAGCAAAAATACTCTATTTCGAACATCCGGTAAACACATTACGATATTTCTGCTGCCTATTACGATCTCTGGTAATTACATAGGTGTTTACGAGCTGCCGTCATAAATTTTTATGAATAAAAATCATTTCCGAACACCCAATCCCATTTCCCGATGTTCGCAAGAGGTGAGACGAAAGCTAATTCACTCTCCAAAACTATCATGGATTGCTCCTCGAAATGCCGTTCTTAATATTTTTCATCTCATATGGAATAAAACTCCAGGGTATGGTTTTTTGATCGAGAAATACAGTACACAATTTTCAAAATCTCTTAACAATAGAAATTCTGATCAATTCTAAGAATTGAAATTGATGTATCCCTACACAAATTAAATCTGGTTGACTGTTGTAAGTGTGAATGTTACAACAGCAGATACCTGAAAATTCTAGATGTTAGATATGAATTTTATGTCTCAACAGGGATTACCTGGCAGCCTTGCCTCTATTTTGAGAATTTGCTGATACCCTAATGACCAATTTTTATTCTTAACCATACGCTTGTAGCTGTGCTGAGCTTCATTGCCCAAATCAATTAATTGAGGTAATGGATAAAAATAGTTCGAGAAATCATTCCTGAATGAATAAAGTGCTTCACTTTCTCAAAGTCAATCTTTAATTTTTATAAGTGAATTACTGCCATGGAGTGAGAATATTCAGTTCAACCCTAAAACTGTAAAATACATTCTGAATGTACTTTTCTCTTCAATTCACTGCTTGTTTACAAACATATTGCTTTCTTTTGATCATATGCACATGCCACGAATATATTCTCAATTCTATACATTGAATTACTTTACGAAAATAGAAGAATCCGATGAAAAATTTCAAATCAGAAACGACAAGTGTTGATGTTTTATGATTAATTCTCTACAAAGAGTGTCCATCTCTTCCATTTTTTATTTATTGAAAATAAAAAACTAACGCAATCGTCTTGATCAACATTAAGCCAACATTCGTTTTTGATATTGTACTATCATTAGTTCCAAGCAACTGAGAAAAATCAACGTACCATTTTGACAATTATGAAAACAAATGTTCAGCGGTCTGATTGGTTATATACGGAAAGTGGCAATAAATTGCCATCATCAAACAGAGCTGCCAGTGAATTGTTGAAACCTTGGCTGGTTGGATTCATTATTGGGGTGCTCTCCGCAGGTCTTGTTCTCGCCATTATCACAGTAGTTTTTATCCAAGTTAAGTATACATTTTCTGTGTTGAAAGTGTTATACCCCACAAATTTTACTGTGCTGTTTTCAGATTCCCAAAATCGTATAACAACTGCAACAACGACCACTTCGACTACTAGCACAACAACCACTTCGACCACTAGCACCACAACCACTTCGACTACTAGTACAACAACTACGACGACCACAACTACTACAACAACTACAACAACGACCACCACAACGACTACGTCAACTACGACGACATCGACGACATCGACGACTACAACGACGACTACTACAACGACTGCCACGACTACGACTGCTACGACTACGACAACAACAACAGCTGTAGTCCTTCCAGCCCAATGTTCCAGTTACACAACTAATACAGATTCGACTCGAAATATTGGATATACGTCTTCATCGGTGTGTGACTCGAGTACATTTAGTTCGTTAGGTGTCTGGGTTCGTTTCTTGAGCCCAGCCGGTACCTCCATACCAACTGTGACTCCAGGTATATCTCATTGTGGTACTGATGCATCTGGCTGTTATAATGGTGCCTACCCATCTACGGCTGGCAGTACAACTACTGGTACAGTCTGCTATCACTGGTCCATCAGTACATGCGATTGGTCGAATTCGATTCAAATTACCAATTGCGGTGCTTTCTACGTCTTTTTATTGATCAATCCACCCGTGTGCAATCTTCGATACTGTACAACTTGACGGAGCCAACACAAAATAGAAATAAGGTCCCTATTTTAGCAATTTATTTTAACACTAATAACAAGAAGCACTGCCTTCATTATAAAGGCAAGATTTATTTCTTTTTCTGCATTCAGAGCACTTATGTAAATTTTATTGTAAATTCTCATAGAACCTGAATAGATAGTTATTTTACATAATTTAAGCTAAGAAATGCTTTTCTTTAATAAACTTCCCTACATACTTAGTTTTTGAGTAAAAATCAATATCAATAGCGTGACAAATTCATGAATCAGCTTAATTCTAAGATCGTCTCATCAAACAAACGCATGAATTTCTTCTCGTGCTTTTTTGTTACAAATACTTTCGAGTGTTATTTATTTTTATTTCGTTTGTTTTCTATCAACATGTACGCACATATTCTCTTATATTTCTGCACACTCACAAAACACTTAAAACATGTTTCTCTCAATTAAAATAAAAACCATTCAACGAATCAGTGATATAAATAACTAGAGGCAATAGCTTTTCTAGAAAGCATGGATTTTGAAGTTATTAAAATTTTTATTTTACTTATTAAGTGGAAAAATTGTCGCGAAACAAGGAGTTATAATATGATGATAAAGGTACAGATTTGTGGAAAATAATCGTATCATTCTTGACGGATATTTCAAATTTCTTTGTATAACATTCTTGTTTGACTTCTAGTTGATTTTGTCGGGATATTACTTTACTCATGTTTAAATAGGCTGTGAAAACAAGCGTGCTTGCTAATTAGTAGTATTTTCAATTATATCATGCAAGAAAACAATAATCAGTAAATAGTGAATTTTTTTCCAGCCCACAAGCTATGCCAATTTTATGGCAGAGGCTACGTGAAAAAGAGAGTAGAGACTCGTAAGCAATTCTAGATATTTGAATAAAACATGAAATTTATGAACATGAGCTAGCTGATAGCTCTTCAACGCATGAATCATCAGTAACATACATGAATAGATTCTCTAACACTTTAGAAACTCGATCAAAACGTACGAATTGACATTCATCAGCAATTTCCACTTCAAACGATACCGTGGTTATTCTACGTTAAATTTGCTTGCCCGGTTTTAAGCGAATATTATTTTACAGATTCATTTATGAATCTTGTCATAGAAGCATTTCGTTGATGAGAAAATCTATTTTAATCACCTTACATAAAGCTCAACCCTTGAACGAGATCTTCGTGCATCCAATCAAACGAGATTACATCAATGTTTTTTTTGCCTCATTTCTGAGTTCTACATCCACCTTTTGTAAAATATACATTGAAAGTACTTTTTCCTTAAATTTAAGCATCGTACACAAACACATTCTATTCTTTCGATAGCGTACAAATGCCGCTAATTCTTTCGTATTCATCTACATTGAATTTCTTTATGCAAATAAAATCTATTCAAAGGCTTCAATTGAGAAACGACAAATGTTGATCTTTTATAATTATTTCTCTAGCTACAAGTATCCATTTCTCTTATTTTCAATTTATTAAAAATAAAAATAAAAAAATATATTGATCAGCACTAATCCTGCATTATTTTTGATATTGTATTATCAATAGTTGCAATCAGCTGAGAAAAATCAACTTCTACACAGCTAACTGGGCTGTGAGTAGTTATTATTGTGGCACGTATGCAACAGGCTGATCCAATGGTGCCTATTCATCTACGGCTGCTAGTACTGCTACTGGGGCAGTCTGCTATTACTGGTTCGGTGTTTCATGTCTTTGGCCGAATTCGATTCAAATCGCTAATTGTGATTCATATTGCGTATTTTTTTCTAGTCGATCCACTGGTGTGTAGTCTATGATACTATACAGAATGACAGAATCCATCAGAAATAGAAATAGTGCTCAGATTATTATGTACCATTTCAGTATCAATAACAGACCGCGTTAGGCTTCTAAAAGCATCAATTATCCTTCAGTTTATATTAATTACAGTGGTTTATGGAAAATTCATTTCATTTTCCCGTCACGTGTTACTTGATACAAATCTCATATTCTTAATTCTAGTGGAAAATTGCTCGTTTTCTCTAGCATTCATTGTATTCCATACTAAAATACTGAATAAAACTGATGACATGAACAAAATTGTATCACAAACGGGGATACACTATGACAGAATTGATGGTGACTCAAAATATAGCTTATATCTAAAGTTAAACTATCGAGTATATTGAATATAATATGTTCTAAAAGATGGCAAATCATCATAAAATATGAAGATATCATAAGAATTAATAACAATACACGCATGTCACAGAATTATTTCCTTGATGATATTGAAAATTCTTTTGCATTCGGGTTCTACCATTAAGAAGATACGTATACTATACTTTCAGTTGTTGTAGAAATTATTAAACGAATGAGCTGATTGATTACGGCTCTAGTTCAATTATTTAGTGATGCAATCACAAAAACAAAAGATAAAAGTTACAGAACTACGCATATAAAATAACAAACATCATGAAAACTTCTACGCAAAGTCAAAGTCAAATCTAGAGCAATTGAATGAATTTCTATTTTTCTTTCGTTCTTGATTAAGTTCGTCTATAGAGCGTCTTCAATAAAAGTGCAGAACATGCATTTTTTTCCTCTTTTTTCTATTGCATAATAAAATGATGGTTAACAAAATTCAATAATTTTATAGCATTCACGAGAGCATACCCACAGGTATAATATTGACTGAATTCAATATTAATTACATGCAGAGTAATAAAATTCTAATTACTATTCAATTTAATTTAAGTAGAAGATTATGGAATATTCATCATTGCTACTATCGTCTCTTTCGAAAGCACATGCTTTATGTAACTATGAATACTTTATGAATAAATTTTTTCCCGCATAAATTCTTCAAAAATGCCACTTATCATATCTCAATATCTTTTCAATGAATAAATTAGGTAGAAATTCATTTTCACCACGGATTGGACCCATAATCATTATGAAAACAGCTCTGCTGATTGAAAGTGTCGAGCGCAACAAAATGCTAACAACAAAATAAAATGCTGCAATTGATTAAATTAAATACACAACTTACATAAATAAAGTCAACTAAAGAACTATACTGATGAGAAGATAATCGGAAGGAAAAATGCTACAATGGATACTGTACCAGAGATTAACTGATGAGGAAAAATCAACGAACATTTGTAAAACTAAACGATCTGAATGCGCCTAGAATTTAAGTGTAAAGTTTGATGATAGAGGAGAAAATAAGAAGCTCAAAATAATTTACTAATATTTGAAAGCTGCGTAAATAAAAAAAACGAGAATATTTGAACAAAATTTGATGATAGCAGAAAATGTTTGGCAACATTAGAGAAAGAAAGTTGTTAGCGCAATCCCTGTGGGATTAAAATGTGAAACACGATGAAACTTCTTTTCTGGAATTCGACTATCATGATCACTGATGGTCTGTGAAGCTTCTCTGTTACAGTCTGTATTATGATGTATGAAGTCTCAAGAAACCACCACAGATCGTTACAGAGAAATTTAATAATTAATTAATTAACCAATTAACTGATTAATTAATTTCTCTGTAACGGTCTGTGGGGGGGGGTCCAAATTTCTACCCAATATACTTCTACACTCCTTTCGGGTCGTGTTTCACGAAACAAATAGTATAGCAAAAGCCAGACTAACGAGAGATGGTCCCCAACTGTTCAGTCGCTTTTGAGTTGATATTTTGGCCAAAGGCAGCGGGCAATAAGACTAGAATAATCCTAAAAGGATTTGGACCGCTAGGCCTTTGAAGCTGTTCTGGGCTGTTGACGGAATTTTTGACCATTTGTTCGATATTTAGGAAAAAAATCAAATAACGGAGTTTTGACCGGAAATTTTCGCCATAGGTAGGTCTAATCATCATTAGAATATCCTGAAAGTCTCAGCCAAAAAAAAACTGCTCTTTTATCGAGATATTGGATTATTAAAAACTAATTCCTTATTGCAGACAAGGCACAAAATGCCAGCTTTCTTGACAATTCAATATCTCGACAAAGGAACACTTTTTTGTGGCTGAATCTTTCAGGATATTCTAATGATGATTAGATTTATCTATGACGAAAATTTCAGGTCAAAATTCCGTTATTTGATTTTTTGCTAACTATCGAAAAAATGGTCAAAAATTTCGTCAAAAGCCTAGAGCTCAGCTTCAACGGCCTAGCGGTCCCATTCCTTTTAGGATTATTCTAGTCTTATTGCCCCATACATTTGGCCAAAAGATCAACTCAAAAGCGATTGGACAGTTGGAGACCATCCCTCGTAAATAGAAGACGTAGTTAGATAAATTAGCCTCCTAGTAAGCCACACAACAAGACGATAAGATGTGAACAAAGAAATTTATACTAACTGAGAGAACTTTATCCGACATTTTCTCTAGACTATGAGTTACCAAAAAATTAGAAGAAAGTACGATGTAAACGAAATATGTAACATACCACTATGCGTAAGTTAGCTAGATCATTCTTTGAGTGTTGAGCTGCTATTTCTATAATGAAACCTATGTTCCAGTGTTGAAGATACTCAATCAGATAATTATTTTGAAAAACGCATTTAAATCTTATCTCGTGATTGCTGTTCGAACATTTTCAAAATCATAGGTCTTTATGAAAAATAGGCAATCGATTGCGTAACTACGATGGGATTTCATCTTCAGTCCTATAGTTCCCTATACATTACAAGAGGGTGATATATTCTTACGATCTATTTTTCACGTTTTATTATTTCAAATGCATTTTGTTTTCAGCACAGTTTTTGACACGAAAAAATATACCTTGAGTGTCAGACGGCATGAATATTGTAATAGATCGAATTGTATTTTCAAATTCTGTGCACCGCTGAAATGTTCAATAAAATACAAAGGAAAAATTTCCACTATTTAAATATTAACATTTTATGGAAACTTGTAATAGAAAAGATCGCAAATTCGAACAATGACACATGAAGAGTTTCATTCATTCGTATGTTTATTATTCTACATAAGCAAACATGAATAAATATCAATTTCGAAAGCAGAACGCTCTAGTTATGTACTTTGGAAGCAACAGCGGAAGCCCTTTTCCATCCCAAGCATGTGTAGTCGATGGATAGAATGCTTACACGTTAATTACTATTCTATTCCAGATTAGCTCAAGTGTTTGGAGAGAAACAAGTTCTTGATGATTGCTCATGTTCTCGAGAACTTTTGTACGCTGAAGGATATTGTCAACATCCACATTCTTGCAATTCTACTGATAACGTAATTTTTCGTCAATGAGATATCTGCTGTGAGCTCCGTCAGGAGATCTTTAATTTTTAGTGAAAACAATTCTGACATTCACTCTGACAACAATAGACGATGTTTTCTGATCGAATTCTTCAATGCTAGCTACTCTTTCAAATTACTAATTCGATTCTCAACTTGGTTTTCTTTTAAATAAACACTTCTTTGTAAACAGGATTGATTTTTTAGTATGACTGAATACTATGCATAATGTCTCATTCATCTACCGTGAATCAAATGAATACAAAAAGAAAATGAGGCCAACCGAATTTTCGATTAACGAGCAACAACTGAAATTAATCTGAATTGATTAAATGTTTGTGAAGACAGTCGATACATTTGATTTACAATTTATTGCCAACAAAAAGTTGCTTTCATCAATACTAATACTATGCTCGACAATATGTTAACTTACTGATATTATTTGTTGAATAGTTTCACCAACGGAGAGAAAATAGCTTGTCATTCGTAATAGAAATGGCGAAAAATTCTGCACAATCAGTATGGGATGCCGAAGAGGATGACGAGAAATCGGTATCATCTAAAAGATCTGCTGGCGCATTATGGAAATCTTGTTGTATTGGATTCTCTATAGCTGTGCTCTTGGCTGGTCTCGCTCTCGCCGTTATCACCGTGCTTTTTATTCAAGTTAAGTATACGTTTTCTGTGCTCTGAGTGCTATGCCCTACACATGATGTTGTGTTGTTTTCAGATTCCCAAAGTCCTCAAACAACTGTAACTACAACCACTTCGACTACTAGTACGACAAAAAAGTTTCANTGTGTGACTCGAGTACATTTAGTTCGTTAGGTGTCTGGGTTCGTTTCTTGAGCCCAGCCGGTACCTCCATACCAACTGTGACTCCAGGTATATCTCATTGTGGTACTGATGCATCTGGTTGGTATAATGGTGCCTATCCATCTACGACTGGCAGTACAACTACTGGTACAGTCTGCTATCACTGGTCCAGCAGTACATGCAATTGGTCGAATTCGATTCAAATTACCAATTGCGGTGCTTTCTACGTCTTTTTATTGATCAATCCACCCGTGTGCAATCTTCGATACTGCACGGAATGATGAAAATCATACAAAAAAAGGAATTAACTTCCAATTCATAATGACTGTTTCAAACCCTGCACCCATTGAGAGGGAGAAAATGATAATTCGTTTTACACAACTTTAACAAGCTATTTAAACTTTATTATATTTTCTCCTGAAACTTGAAACTTTTTTGTCGTACGATATCCTTGACAATAGTGAAGTTTTTCTCTTTTTTCTAATGAATAAATCCTATATTCCATATTAAAGGTTCAAATAAAATTGACGGCTCGTCAAAGAATTATATTATGACCATACATACGCAATGATTCGATGACTCACGAATGAAATAATACCACGAATCAATTGTTACACTGTCAACAATATCAAACATTCTATTTTCAACTAGAATAAACACTATTATGAGCCAATTCATATATCATAATACTTCATGTTAATGCAAGATTTTTGGGAGAGTTATTGTTTCAGCATGACTAATATTCATCAGAAAATCCTTTTTTTTGCAATCTACTTTTAAGAATATATTAATATCATGCAGTTTTTTTGTTGTAGTAATAGTTGAAGCAGCCAGTACCTTTCAATATTTAATGAAAATAAATTCTGATGTAGCGATTTCAGAAATAGAAAAGAATGAACTGACTTTACAAACATAAATATATGTCAGCAGCCAATGTTGTATTACGTCCAATCTGAGATACACCTGAAATTTTCAGTCGAATCTTAGATTGTCTTAGTTCAATGCCAGATTGAAAAGTTAGTACGTCCAATCTCGGATGCGCCTAGTTCAATCTCAGATTTGCCTAGGTCAATGTTAGTTTGATTGAAGTCATTTATGAAGAAGCATTTCTCAACATATAAGTTGATTAGTTCTAATTTTTGGGCTACAAAGAGGCTTGAATGACATATTACAAATTTGAGGAGAACTCATTTTGATAATATTTCTCTGTTCGAGTTATGATCGTTCGTAAAACTTCGGATTTTCATGAAAGTATTGAAAAAACAATTGAACGGTATATCATGAACCCAGAAATATTTTATAGATCTGAATCCCATATTTACCAGATTATTGATAACCATCCATTAGGATAAATACTTATGCTGCGAGTTAATGGATTTTTTCTCTCCATTGACTCTCCAAATTATTAGCATGCAAGTTTTTTTCATTATTTATTTAAAAAAGAGTGTACTTATTCGAATTGGAAAACTAAGGAATTACCAGACCTTCTGTCTAGATCTATTGAATTTATACAAATCACAGAATATATCTTTTGGTAGAGCATAATACATTCAAAATCGAATCAAAAAATCCTAATTGCAAAGAATGAACTTTTCCATTCATCATCACAATCACTATCATTTGTGCTCCCGCTCCTTCCACTTCAAGTCCTCGGATAGGCATAGACATAAAAACTGAAAGTTTTATTAGTATTCTAAAAAATAGAAAAACATTAGTCTGTAGATAGTTCATCGTTTTTTAGATACCTTCGTGAAAATCTGAAGGTTTACGAACGATCATAACTCGAACACAGAAATATTATCAGAATGAGCTCTCCTCAAATTTTTAATATGTCATTCAAGTCTCTTTGCCGTCCAAAAATCAGAGCTAACCAATTTATATGTTGAGAAATGCTTCTTCATAAATAGCTTCCATCAAACTAACATTGGCCTAGGCACATCCGAGATTGGACGTACTAACTTTTCAATCTGGCATTGAGCTAAGCCGATCTAAGATTCGACTGAAAATTTCAGGCGTATCAGATTGAACATGTTGTAGCTGATGGATCCGGCATTAGCCTGAATTCATATGCGTCCAATGTGGAATTCCAGATTGGACGTAATCTAACATTGACCGCTAACATATATATATATAGATAGATGTACATGTGACCAACAATAAGTATAATCAAATTATCTTCGCAAAATGAGATTAAAATCAAATCAAAAGCATAAAGATCAAGTTCTATTTTTCCTTGATTTTTTACTATGTTCATTGTAGAGTTTCTTCGCTAGATGTACAGAACATGCTTTTTTGTTATTTCCCTCCCGCAAGTTGCCTATTGAACAAACATAGAAAGTCACAACAATGATAATCGAATCACTGAGACAAACAATCGACTAAAATGAATAAAGTGAACATATGAAAACATAAAACTGTATTGGATATTTAATTTCAGTAGAAGATGATCGAAAATTGACAATTCTCCTGTCTTTATGATGATATGTTCAAATGATCTTTACATCATTCTGTCTTCTGAGAGTATGTTCTAAATACTTGATTGTACTTCAATCTTAAACCTTCACCTTCAACATAAAAGAATTCACCATTAGTTGCATTGATTTTTATTTGAGATGTTTTTAGAAAATTAAATGAATTTGGACGATTCGAGAAGACATTGTTGTCGCTTTAGCAGTCTTAAAAATCAGTCATGTTTGTATGTAAATATTACAATCTTGAGGATATGACGGTTGCACGTTTTTATTGTTCATCCTTCATTTTTAATTGTTCGATTTGATATTTGAGCTATGAAACTATTAAGTTTGTGCAATACAATTAATTTATTCGTGATCAAAAAAGAAATCTTCGAACACGATCATTCTGATCAGAAATGCTATGGCAAGGAGAAAATTTCTTAAAACAGAAAAAGATAAATCGATATTTTTGCTGAATTATAGCAAAGGACAATTGCCTTTGGAATTATTCAAAAGCAAGGTAGCCACTTTGTCCTAGAAAAAAATCGTGTCAGTCTCATGACCTAAGACATTTATCTAGTGTGATACGAAATAAACAACGGATTACGCCTTGTTGTTGTTGTTGTTGTTGTAATAGTGTACAAAGGGCTTCGTTTGTGCATACATCGCAGCGCTTGTCAGAATTCTACCGACAAAATTATTTGCAAAGGACGCCCCCTGGGGATTTATTAGGATACTGAGATGTATGAGTCTGATGTATATAGTATGGAATCCATGAATATTAAAGAAAAAACTTGTAAGTAATCAATAATCATATTGCCGATCGTTTTCCAGTGAATCAGTCAATGTTTAAAATCATAATACAGATGAAAATGTAAACATGTGTTAGAATCTTGCGATCAAAGAAGTCGTCGTTGAAATTAATTGTTTTATTTCAATTATTAATTTACAAAGTAGTATTGAAAACAAAATTCAATTAAAAAATGATTAAACAAAATACTGCAAGTTAAAGCAAACAATAGAAATAATTATCCGATATGCAGAATGGCAAGAACAGTATTGAATACATTAGCATAGAAAGTATCAAGGAGAGGTGAGAGATATCAAAAAGTAAACTTTTCTCTTGCATTATGGATGTTGGTTGAAGGAGAAAATCAAACAATTATCCAAACTCACATTCATGCCGATCTGCGCAGTGCCACGTTACGCGGCCAAACCGATAGGATAAAAGGCATTCAAATACCATTTCCTTTACGATCAATGTAAATAAACGATAAATCAGCAATATATTTCGTTTTGCATCTCTCTCATCATTAATTTTACTTCTGATTAAGTATGCAAAAAAGATTTATTAAATAGCACATCAACATATCCAATTGAAATTTTTATTTATAAAATACAATTGCGCATTTCTATTCATATTTATTTCAATCGTAGATTGCATTGTAAAAATTGATTAAAAACAATTTGAATTTTTTTTTGATTTGCTTTATCTGAATAATGAATGTAATGCGAAATGTGGATGGAAAGAAAAAGAAAAAGAAAAAGAAAAAGCGAAAGGTATTCGTTCGTTTGCAATTACTTCAAAAAACAGAGTTACAGCCAACTATCTTGTTTCAATCGGTTTTTGCTTTTTCTCTCGAATAAGAACATACATGACATCATTTTTCTTTTCGTCCTTGACCAAGAAAGGAAAGAACCGGTTGACTGGCTGGAAGTTTGACAAGTACAGGACACATTAATAGTAATTATTCAAAGTAGTGACTGCTTCTTTTTCAATAGATTTATCTCTACGACAAATCTAATTGTAAGTATTTATCTACGAAAACCAAAGGATACATTTCTTTAATTAATTACAGTAGCGAACTTAACAGGGAGTATTAATTTAAGTATGCCAAACAGTTTTTTCATTTCGACTAGTCGTAATAAATTGTTGAACTATAAGTACTACACCTGAGTAACCAAAATAAAGAGGAATAATAAATTGCATTTAGTGAACATAGTATAGGAGGGAGAAAAAAAATGTCGTCTTTCGATTAGAGATGGGAACGGGACGTGAGAGCAGCTTGCATACGATGGCAAGTTCAGTCGTATACATGACTTGCAACAGTTGTTATGGTTGTCAAAAGAAAATTTCAATTCTTTTTTTTGTCGTACTCTTGATTGAAATATTTCAGAATAAATTCGTAGAAAATTGCTATCGACTATTTATCCTTTTAAATAGAGACATCCAAAAATTTGAAATACTTTTTTCAGCAAAATAATGCTTTCATAAAGTGGAACGCGTTCTCAACCGGATTTTTTTTGGAACATTTTTTTCTGCGTAGAAAAGAAAGAAAAAGACAAGAAAAAAAGTTTACTTCAGCAAAAGCGTACATAACGGCTTCTTTTACTTACGCCATTTACTGTTTCTTGTGCTTCCTCTTCGTTTCATCGTCACCAATTTTATGACTGCTATTGCTGCTATAATAAAGAATGAAAAAGAAAAAAAACGTTTCCGATTGAAAGAGTCGTCAGCTCCGCACTTTTTCTCGTCGTTTTTTTCTGGCACTTTTGTATAACTTCTCATTTCATCGATATGATGTTACTGATTTTGAATTCGTTCTTTTAAACTAGTTTTTATATTAATAGAAAATACCTAAACTATTTCAACGCGATGGTTGCCTTGCGGAAAGAAATCTTAATTGTCTTTATAATCTATACTATCGGTAAGTGTCATGTTTGACTATCATTTCACGTAAAGTAGGTGTCAGTCAAAAGAATGACCTTGCTTTTTTCAATAAAACAAATACACAGGAAATTCACGGAGCAACTAAAAAACTTTATCTGATTAAATTGTTAGGGATAAAAACTGGAATAAAAAATATACGACCATTTTGATTCAAATGTCAATTGGTAAATAGTATTCTCCTCACGAAAAAAAAAAACGTTAAGTAAATGTTAGAAGAGGATAAATAACATTTTTTATAAAAACATTTTGATGATAACCTTTTCCATACAAGAATATAACCATAAAACTATTGAAACGAAAGAGAATATGTCCTAGTGAATTTTAATCGTTCGATCTCTATATCGTTCACTAACGAGGATGCTTATATTTTAAGTCATCGTTCATGGAAACCGAGCACGTCGTCATCGGCGACAAACTTTAAATGGACCAGTTAATCAAAATTCATTATCGCCCAATCGTCAAATTCTTAATGATCAACAACAACGATCTTCACCACGAGAAAAAGATCCAAATGAAATTGCATCTAGAAAACAAGATCGTCGTCAATATGGTTATGGACTTGGTGGTTCTAATTATCCCTATGGTGGCGGAGGTTTTGGTTCTTATGGATATGGGCAATGTAACTAAAATACGATTATTACCGTGCGCATTCATTTTCTTGAATTTTCTTTAGATGGACAAGGATTAGGACAATCGGGTTCCTATTACAATCGATATCCAGGTTCATATGGTGGCTATTCAGGCTATAATCGCCCTGATTATTATTCATCAAATTATTATCCATCGATGGGATCAAATTATTACGGTGGGTATTTTTGGAATCATGGACAAAAGCAATATTACAATAAATTCCTTGGTTTTACATCTTTGCTTTTATGTTCACTGGTTTTTTTCAGCATGTAGAAGTACGAAATATCTACTAACATATTGAGCTGCACTTTCTTCATATATAAAAACTTCAATTATCATGTGTATTTTCTTTTCTACACTTTTATAAATATTAAGAGAACGTTTTTTTCTGGTGTGTAAAAGCTGTGCGTGTGCCTCCTTTATTCGCTATTTTGTTTTCTGGCGTTATTAGCTTAGACATTTATCGATTCTTTTGCTGATATTTTTAACAATTTTAATGCCTTTTTACGACATTTTAATAAAATTTATTCCAGAAATAATTCTAAAAAGAAAATCAAATCAATCCGAGGAAAAAATCCGTAAAATTTGTACAAAATAATCACTTTTTGCCGATTATTATTACAGATTTCTGAAGAATATACTATTTATAGGATTCTCTCCCATATTAAAAAATCGACTTTCGATTAAATTGAATCGATACCAAAACTTACATAACCATTTTAAAGTTTTTTCTTTTAAACTCATATCTAAACTTCCGTACATCCCTTCAATTTCAACGAGTAGTAGTCGTAACACGAAGGCCTATTTCCTATCATTAGATTCAACACACTGAGCTTCATCGATGAAGATGTTTTTTCAATTCGATCCGACGACATATTCATAGTTTGAAATTTTGCGGCATTCGATCAAGGAGAAAGAAGTTGTACAGCAGCGAAAGTGAAACTCTGTAAATGCTATGATTGCAACTAGCGAAAGAAGTGTGGTGAGTACGATGCTCACGACCGTGTACATTCAATAATAATATGCCATGAAAAAGTTTTTCGTTCTTTAGGAATGCCTTCGATGTGCGTATGAAAGACAGCCACCAGTTGGAATTTACGCTATCGTCATCTACTTTTCAGAATCTCCTAAGTAACCATACTTATAAAATGCTACAAAATCGAGCCAGTGGATGACTGTCATGTGATTTAATTGCTCAATCACGATCGATATTAACCAAAGTAAGCTTTATTATTCATTGCAAGTTTATTTATTTAACATTTTTCGTAAGTAAATCGTATTGTTAATTTCATTCTCGCATTTCATTGAGCGAAAACAAGGTATTGTTCGTTCTGAAATCAGATAAATTTCATTCTACACGTGCGGTTTTCTCTTTCGAAATACTAATTTATAAGAAAAAGTAACAGCACCGAGGTGTTTTCCGTTTGGGTTAGAAAGCAAAACAAATTTGATTGTTTCTGATGAGATTACTTTATAGTTTCTATTTCTTTTAGAGACAACTCATTATGATACGCTGATGTTTTCTAGGCAATTATGCTTTATGAAGTGCAATGCTTTTCATATACAGGTTTAAAGAGAGTATTAACTTGTATCACCAAGGAAAACAAATAAATAGCAAATATCTGAAAACTAACTGCACAGTTTTACGCACATCTGTTCAGGAAACATTATGGAAATTACATTTGCTCTGACATATATTCATTGCTTGGATCCGTACCAATGCTTCGAAAAAATAGCGAAGGTTTAACAGGGTTTTGTTATTCAACGAATGGATATCGAAACGGTAAATTTCCACTGGTGTTCGTATATGTAAAACACTACCATAATACATTGATAGGATTTCATGTGCTTGTTGATCATTTTGGCATTTTTAGATCGGAATGGTTTCACCTTGCTATTACAAACCATCTGTGAGTGCACCCTTGCGATGGGAGAAACCGAATTTATAAGGTACCATCACGAATTTGATTTCTCTGATGAGTGCCTTTGGACTCATCATACTTGTGGGTGTGCTCGTTTATGTACCCTCAATAGTGCGTCAATGCCAACGAACGTACGATATTAATTCGCATCAAAACGAGGTGTAAATCTTTCAGATTAGTTTTTATCATTTTTTGTTTTTGAAAACAGCAGTGATTGCCAAATCTGACTTATTTCCTACTGATATCGAAATCTCATGCAGAACAAACGCTATTGTACTTATTTTTTTTATTCAATAAAATTCATTGAAGCACTTTGCTGGTATCAAATGTTTAGGGAGCACTATGAGTGAACATTTTCAAATGCACTTGCGAAATAGTGCTCAAAATTACTTACGTGTTACGTATTTATCAAGTATATATCGGGTGGCCCAAGCTAGATGTCCCTCTCAGTGTTTTTTCAATAGCGTCATTATTTTTATTCTCTAGGTCTTAGTTTTTTCCCCATAAGATTCACCATCCAATTCTCTACAAGATTGATACTACCATTTTTTCTGTTGAAGTTGAAGGAAAAAATTAAAAAAAGAATATTCAACAAGTGCAACAGCAGCAACTTTCAAAGCTGGGAAATAGCTTTTGCACATTTTTTCGTTGGTCAGTAACGATAAAAATAAAGCAATGTAGATATTTTTTAGCTGTTGAAAAATTCTATCTTCCGCTCATAATTGAGAAGTTTCCACATTCAACCTTATAATGCGCATTCGAACTATCTTCTCTTTCAGATTTGCGAGAATTTAGCTCTATCAAACTGCAATTTCGATACTCCTAGGAAACGAAGCGCAACTAAGCCAAAATATCATTTTTGGCATTCGTTTCTTTTCCATTTTGATCGAAATGGCCTACTGTACCAAAGTGAAACGCGAAATTTGAGTTTTAATTTTTTTTCTTTAATTCAACTAGCGCAAATTTTTGATTTAAGCTATTTTGAAGAGAATTTTCAAAAAGTCAGATTTTTCGATCTTCCGTTTGCTTTCAATGAGTCCTAGGCTACACGACGAGAAAGAGTACACTTCAGAGTACTCAGTAACATCTTTGCTTCTGTTTCATTTTGTGTGCCATTATCAAAAATTTGCAAAAGTTTGTTTTAAAAATCATCTTGTAGAGAATTGAATGGCAAATATTTTGGGAAAAAATTAAGGCCTAGAAAATGAAAATGATGAAGTTATTGAAAAAACACTGAGAGGGACATTTAATCTTGGCCACCCAATACTTTGTAAAGATTTCTAAATTTTTGGTATAAAGAGAAAAATGAAATAGTTCAAGGTAACGGTTAGGCGAAATAGTATCGGTACGAGTATTGAATCTACGCAATCGATACCCACCATATTATACTCAAATAGCTATTTGTTTGTTTAACACTCAGTGACTTTCTTACTTTTGTATTTAAAGTATGCGAATGCATCGTATTGAGGTGCGTGAAGATTTCTTTAGCCTAATTGAGAATTATCATCTTCAATTCCAATGGAATAGGAACGGCAAAATACTGTGGTCCATCGGCCAATGAGATTTCCATTTACCAGAAAAATGAGATATGGAGGAAAACGATACATTTTTTCTCTCCCGTGGTTCTGCATATTTTCCTTTGTCCTCTATTTCACATAATCTTTATTTCTTGATTTGATCGATTGCGTTTTGTTGTCCTTTAATGTGCATACAGCGCGCAAAACAATGATTCAGATTTGAACAGATCTAGACAGAATTTCTATGAAAGGGAACATAGAACTTTGGTAGCCTTTTTATTGCAATTACAGAAACATTGAAAAGATATCAATTCGAATAAGATGATAACGAAAGCGTTTATTTATCAATGGTGCTTGGTGAATTTTTTTCTATGCTTCAAGATGTATTTCTCGTGTGTACACGAAAATCAATCAGCTATTGACCTTGGGATTGATGTTAGTGGATGTTTTCTGCTCTCTTGTCATTATTCATGACCTCCTAGGGTTATAATTATATTTGTGGAGTGTTGCAACATCAAACTTATGAAATAAACCTGATGTGATCTCATCGCACGACTGACAACGCCGTAAATCAGCCATATTGCTTCATCACATTATAAGTTTCATCATTCATCATTGTAAGATTAGCGTTACTAAAACCTAAAAGTTGGAAATTATATAAATCACTCTGCATTCTCGTATATATTCTCGCAGGATACTAATTTACACAAAATTTACCTACTAGCAGAACGCGGCAGCTTTAATTACATTCAGTCAACAACACAGCATCGCGATGGGTTTTGGGTCAACATTTAAATATTTGCTTATATGTTTATGCATTCTGATACTTGGCTCTCTGACAATACACCCTATCTACTCGTATCATAAAGCGAGAGTTCTAAGTAAAAGCTATTACGAAACTCAATGTAAAGTTCTTCAAATATCAGTCTATATGACAAACTGTACGAAAATTATTGGACAAGGAAGTAAGTTATCTACCTTTTTTCGATTCAATCAGCTGTTTATTTATGGTAAAATTTTTTTTCTCCAGTCAAAACCTACGAATGCTTAAAAGAAAATGCGACGGTCGAATATATCACAGAAGAAGAAGATGCCAAAAACGGCTTTATCTCTTCAATTGACGGTCATTTGAATGCAAATTTTTCACGAACACCGGTATGCTTTAAAAACAACTCGACACATTGATGATTTCGAAAGCTCATGCTGTATGTTTTTCAGATCGGAAAAATTGCGACTTGCTACTACCGTCCGCATGTGAATGGAATATTGAAATGGATACGACCGAGAGCAACACAAGAACGTATAGTAATGATTATTCGTCTCATTACCATAGGACCATTCACCGTTTGCTCAATCATTTATTTTATTTACACTGTTGTAAGCAGTATGTCCTAATAATTAAGATGAGAATAGTAATTGTTCTTGAACATAGAAGCTCTGGTGAATTTTTTCAATAGCAAAATCCCACGAAACTGTTGTGATGCCGTGGAACAGTAGCAAATCAAATCTAATGAGTTATTATTTCACTAGTCACTAGCATTGAAAGTCAAATTAGTAAGTCCTAACCCAATATCTGCTCACTTCGTTTTACCCAAGATAGAATCAATTTTCACAAGTTGATCTCGCTGCAAAAATCTTCAATATTCATATGAGAAGAACTTCATGAAATATTTCATCGCAACCAAAAATAGATTTAATCCCACAAGAAAAAAAAATGCAACGAACAAAAGTACAAATAAAAAGTATCAGATAGACAGAATCATCTGACAAAGAAAAGAAGCTATCATGAATATGTACATAATCACTTAGATTCTGTTTTGAAAAAATAATTATCGATACCATGTGCTCGTTGAGGTGTTGCATCAGATTTTCGTTTTTGTCGTTTCTTTGGTGGTGTTGATTTTGATTGTGTTAATTGAATACTAGGAAATTAGAACGAGAAAAAAAATGTATTATTGATTGAAACGACGGAAATTATTTTGTGACATACCGTTTGTTCATTTTTGTTTGAGGTGATGTTCGTCGGTTTTCTTCTTTAATTGTTGTTCGAACCATTTCACCATTTAGACATAAATCAATATGTTTATTAATTTTTTCATTATCACCGAGAAGTAGCTTTTGGCAGACAGGACAAGCTGTCGTACTTGAATTCGAATCTTCATCATCTTGATGAGTTAATTTCGAGTCACAACCTCCAAGATGTGAATTTTCCATAGATAGAAATTCTTCGTTCTCATTTTCGTCTTTTTCTCTCTCCTCCTCCTCATCTTCATCAACATTATCAATATCTTCAATCACATCATGAACGTTTTCGTTGATTGTTGTTGTTGATTTTTTTGAGAAAAATTGTAGAATTGGTAAATCTGAACTTTTCATTTTCAAATCAGCTACTCGTACACCTGAAAACCAATAATAAATAAGTAAATATTGAGAAAAATCAGCAGCGGCGAGCCCTGATCAAAGTCTACTATTCGACAGAAACTAGCAGCTGCAATTTCGAACTGATTTTTTCTTACCCATAAGACGTAAAGCTGGCAATTCAATGTCTTGATCGAGTTCATGTTTAAGTAGAGCAACAGCTTTATCAGCAATTACATTTAATGAATCAGTATACGATGACAATGTCTTCGAGCGTGTTAAATTTTCAAAATTAACGGTCTTGATTTTAAGTGTTACACGTTTACATAGAAGGCAATGTGAAATAAGTTCATCAACTGTTTTCTTAGCTAAGTCACGGCAAAGTGAGATCAATTGTGATGAGTCACGTACACTATTAAACGTTCTGATAATTAACGAAAATAAAATAAATCTGTTGAGAGAAGTTATGTTTTGATTTACGTTTCATGTCCAACACTTTTCTGTAAATCATCATGTTCAATCGTCGTTGAGCCACAACCATTTGAGACACGCATGAGAAAATCAAATGTGGTTGGATATTCGATTAATTTAAGAATTCCGCGCTTAAGATAAATATCATTGACTGTTTGAATTTCAAGAGATTCCAAATGAAGTGCAGTTACTTTTCCAATGCCTTTTATCTAGAGGAGCAGTAGGAATATAAAATTCGATTAATGACAATATCTTTACAGGGTTTCTTACTTTTCGTATTGGCATATTTCGAATAAAATTTAAAATAACTTCCACATTCGATTCTAATTGATACTGTCCATTTGGTTTATTGATATCTATCATTTCGAGAATGAAAGGAAGCAATCGTTTGAAATCAATTATTTTACCAGAACATAATTTGGCTAAACGCATATTACATGCAATGCCAGCACTAGCTGTTAATCGTGTTGCTAAATGAATCCTATGTCGCATTTCTTGAACAACTTCTTCCGCTGTCATACCAAATGTGATTGTTTCAGTTGAATTTTCCTAAATTGTTTTCGTATAGAATCCGTGAAGATAATGATTTATTCATAAGACACTGCAACTGCGAAACCGTCTATATCATATTTAGAAGCTAGAGAACAACGATCAGAACAACGGGGTTCTCGAACGCGGCTCTAATAGCATTATGTAAAGACAATCTTGTGTGTTTCAGATGTAACTATAGATGATTATCATAATATTGCAGTTATAGAACAACGTTAAACATTACGGTGCTTTAGCTTTTGGTGCCGAAAAACTGATTATGATGAGAGTAGCAAAAATCTGGTCACTTTCGAAAACAATTAACCATTTCACCAATCATATGTACTGAAATAATAAGTTTATAGAAAAAAAAGAAATTACCTCTTTCGGAAAAGTTCTCTGTTGTTCCGAGAAATTTGTTCGTATTTGTAAATGATTTGTTAAATCAGCAAAAGCTTCATCGAGACCACATGAACCATAGTTTTCGTCATATTCGCTAATAATTTTCCTTCAAATAAAAATTTTCTCTCTGACCAATAAAACATTCATTCTTACATCACTTTTACACTATCAGCTCGGTATTTTTCAAAATCGCACCGTACAATAACTAGATTCGGACAAAGATGTCGTGCAATAAAGCCAGGCATGGCTGCACGTACACCGAATTGACGAGCTAAATAATTTGATGTTGACTAAAACAAACTTCGGCTATTCATTAAATAAAACATAAAGTTAAGATAATTACCAACATACTTTCACCGCCGACTGCCATCGGAACATGTTGAAGTGCTGGATTATCTCGCATCTAAACGATAAGACTTTAATTTTACCTTATTTCTCTTGTTGTCATTTTTCTACTTACTTCAACTGCTGCATAAAAAGCATCCATATCAATATGACAAAATGTTCGTGATAAATCTCGTGTTTTATCTAATTGAGCTAAATATCGATCAACCTAAAATATAAAAAGTACGAAAAAAGAGAAGAAAATGTTTCTCTACTGATTTTTCAGCTTGTTCAATTTGAAACGGTGTAAATGATTTTATTTTCGATAATTTAACTTCAATTCGTCGACGATTGTCCTACAAATTATTTTCGAAAAACAAACAAAGCGTTCGAACTGCAAAATCCTACTTCTTCCCGGCGTTGTTGTTGTTTAAAAAATTTCGAATCTAATCAGAGAATTAAAATTTTCTTTTTCAAATATTCTCTATCATACTTTTCGATGCGTCTTGAATCAGTTTATTTATCTTTTCTTTATCCAAATCTTCCATACCGGCTTTTGTATCGTCGACATTAAGAAATGTTGTTCGACTCATGTTTTCTGAAAAAACAAGTAACAAAACTAAGCAATCCGTTGCTTGTTTATTCTACAAATCAAGTTTTATTGAAAAAAGAAAACTTGAACGAAAAATTTATCACAAAAAAATAATATCCTCTTAACAATTATTATTTTTGTTTTTTGCTTTTCGATACTCAAACGTTGCATCTAAAACGACCCAAAGACAGGAATCTTGAGGATAATCATTATCAACTAAATTGACGAGGAAATAAGTATTTGAGATTTCTTCAATAATTGAATATGAACGAGAGCCTTGCTTGTATAATCTCCCCCGACATTCCATCCATAAATTAAAAGATCATAAAACTAATCGGGCCGACAACTGTTGGTTGAATAATTTCTCTAGCTGCAAAAACACCCCATATCAATGCAATTGGTTGTTCGCCTTCGGTACTTGTTTCATTAACCTCACCCTAGAAATAAACTTCTGTAAAATATGCTAGTTAAACATATGAAAGGATAATCCTACGGATTTATTCACAAAATGATAGTTAACACCAGGAAACTTTTTCAGAGCAGCCCGTAAAGCCGGAATATTTTTTTCACTTGTAAAAATTCTAAATAAGCCTAGAAAATAAAATAAAATACTCTCCGTATTTCTTTCGAAATCAATATACTTTTTGATAAACATAACCATTTTTTAATGCCCCGACCAAATATTGAATCCGTACTTGATTTTCCGTTAACCGCTGGTTGAGAACTAATTGTCAAAATTCCTTTTCGATTATATTTAATTAAATGATCATGAATGAAATTTGTTTCAGATGATATATCTTCGTCTTTCCATGGAAAATGATGTACTATTTTAACTCTACCATTTTTCTCATCGGCTATATAGCAAGCGAACATTCTCCGAACATCTTGTTTATCGGCTAGCTCATGCCCCCATTCATCAAGTAATGCATCGCGTGTTGCATCGATTTTTATATAGAATAAATGATAATCAGTTAAAACACCAAACGACGGTGCAAACGGCAAACCCCAACGTCCATTTGGAAATTCTTCGCAATTCGATGTACGATGAACATAAGATTTTGGTCTTACACTCTAAAATATAGGACGAACATTTTCTTTTGAACGACATAATTTTTTGAAATCGTTTTCCATGGCAAAGCGCGTAGTGGAGGATCTTCTAACCAGCGATCAAGTTTTCTTAAAATTTCAATCGTTGCATATTCACGGTTTAATGTATAGAAATGAAGTCCATGAATTTTACCAGAGTCTAATAATGTTCGGCAAAGATCAACACATTTTTGAACACCGAAATTCCGTATGGCTTCACCGTTATATTTAATAGGTTCGATACAGGCAAGGATTTCCTCAGGTACATCTAATTTGGCTAATCGAACAATATTCTTGAAACTTGCATACGCCTACAATATGAAACAATGGATTATGTGTGTTTTCTGTGTTTAAAATATCTGTTACTTGAATAGGAAATATTCCAGGAATAATTCGACATTGGATGCCAATAGATCGACAATCAGATTCAAATTTAATAAATGTTGCTGGTTGAAAAAATAATCGTGTTATAATAAAATCTGCTCCATAATCAACTTTTTCTTTAAGATAACGTAAATCCTCCTCGTACGATGCCATATCAGGATGATCAACCTTGTGGATAGCCTTCCATCAAACATAAAAAACAATAAATTTAATTAATTCTTATTTCAAATTTACCTGCAACACAAATAACAAAATAATCATCGAAATGTTTGCGAATGAATTTAATTAAGTCGCTTGCGTATCGAAAGTCACTTTTCTCCGGGTTCCATTCTTCTCCCACCGGTGGATCTGAAACATGATACATATATCCACAAAAATAACCCACTTTCAAAAATAAAACTCTACCTCCACGCAGCGCAAGTAAATTTCTAATACCAAACTCTTTGGCTCTCCAAAGATATTCAAGCATCGTTTCTTTTTTAGCACCCTAGCATGTTATATGCAACATAGTATCGATACTACAATAGTTTAACATTGTATTGGCAACCATCATTGAATTTGTTTCTTTCGTGCCAGCTGGATCCCCAGCGGGATGCTAAGTTATATCACAAAATAATGGTTGGCCAACAGCCATACGTTCAAAACTATTTTCAAAATAGAAAAATAAAAATAAAAATGAACGCGAAGTCATTATTACCATTCAATAAGATTTGCAGCACCACTGGCGGTACGTGGTGGAAAAAATTCAAGCGAATACCAACGATCATTATTAGCAATACGCTCGTGAATTTTTTCTGTTAAACTTATATATTCAACTGATTCAAGACAACAACCTTTAGCAGTCAAAAGTCGAGTTTCACTATCCGAACGTTTAAAATTATTGAAACGGCTACTTGATATTTTTTCAGCACCGTTATCGTTTTGATACGTATTGTAATGACTAGAAAGACTACGATTTTCGTTGTGTGTTAGTATCGCTTCGTGGTTTTAAATAGACATAGCCGAATCGAATGGTTAATATCGTTATGAAAAAATATTGACTTGATCAAATGTAATTGTTCGCCTTTGTGATCATATATTAAATGCCTAATGATAATGATGTTAACCTAAAAACAGAATACACAAAGAAAACAAGAGAAAAAGCAAAAATATACGAATAAAAAAAAAGAAAATGACGAAGTAAGTTAAGTGCATTGTGGGGCTCATAGGCATTGGTAACGATTGATATATCACGTTTGAAAGGGATGATAAGATGCTTGGAATGCCAATGGATTTTTTAAATTATGTTCTTAATTCTAAAAGAATATGTCAACTGGACAACATAAGTACCCATTCAACTATTAATAGAAACTTTCAATGGAGGTCGCTAAACACATATCTTGTTCATCCAAGAATATGAGAAGAAAATGTCGTATAAAGCAAATAGTCTATAGTTTCATTAGATACTGATTTTGTCATCGAAACTGACATGAAAAATATTTTTCGACTAGGCACACCGGCATTTCGATATGGGAATGATGATAAAAGGATATAATCGAGAATCAAGAACAAAACAACATACCACGACCTTTTTTTTTATCAAGAATACTCTCATGTAATGCAGAAAAAATGCTTAGAATTAGAGACCTGCGGGACAAACTTTGTCGTGTCCCGTCCCGAAGGGTGTGGGTGCGGTTGAGTTAAAAATACAATCACATGCACACACTCACCTCACACCCTTCTTCTGCTGATTTAATAACATGATGCGTCTTTTTTAAACGAGCAAGAGCTCTCTTCTATTTTTGATGTGAATCTGATTATTTAAATAAACGTATTTTCTTGTATTCTTTAATCACTTGTTTAATGAGCGCTCTAGTGTCGGGCGCTCAACTGCCCTCTCATGAACAGACTCATCGCCGAAATTGATTTTTTTTACAATTTGAATGATGCATTAGGCAGTACAAAATTTCGTAGAGATAAATCTTCATGGCGTAGCTAAATCGAAATATACATGAAAAACCCGAAGACTCGCTGAGAAAATCAAATCATTTTTCTATCCATATGAATTTTACCAAGGCTGAAATTGTTTATGCCGAAAATTGACCAAGTTTTATTTAGTAAATAGCTTCTTTAAAAAAATACAAGTTCTTCTCAAAATTAAAACTTTCAGAACAAAAATAGTCGTATGGATAAAGTCAATATTTAAGCATAAAAAATCCCGGTGAGATAACAATTCCATTATCCATCGGCAGACGTTCTTATTTGCTGCCTTCGATCGTTGCTCGCATATTTTCATATTCTGATAATAAAATAAATCTAGCCAGGCTGTTTGTTTTGTTAAATAGCCGATCACCATTTTGTAATTAGTTTTGCTTGATTAAGCTGATTGGAATATTTAAGCTGAAATATCTACAAGATCTTGATCATCGGTTACATCACGAAAGAGCAGATTAAAAATTTGATTGTAAAAATTCGGGTAGATAGTACATGCACGATGACAATCAGGAGAAAACTTTATTTCGAATAATTTTGGTTGAATTTTATTATTCTTCGACTCTAGTGCAAGATCAGCTGCATAGACAGCTCGTGACGATAAACATGAACCAATACCTAGTGGTGCTTCTTCGATTGTTGCACAATGAAAAACCTCACGAAATATTTCAAATATGCGTTGTTCAACAACTGACCATTTATCACCGTGTTCACCATGTTGCTCATTAAACATAGCAATAAAATTTTCACAATCTATTTCTCTTGCATGCGCATTAGTTTGAATGTTCATAACGGTAAAATGTGTTTCATGATCATCCAGTTCTTTCATTGAAAATGATTTATTTGCAAAACGAAGCCAAAATATTTTATGAACATACAATTTCAATGGTAGAACACTACGTACAAGTAGCATATAACGAACATCGAACTTTACTCCGTTACCTTCAATTTCAGGTATTTTAAATAAAACCGGATTTGATACGTATTTACAAGCAATCTTTGAGCCTGACTCAGGCAAACGAATAACCATATCAAATAAATTTGTAATTGATATATCAGTCGAACGTGGTAAATTTATTGGTTTCACTATCCAAGTATTGTCAGTTTGCTGATCTTCGCAATACTAATGAAATTTAAAAGAAAAATTATAGTACCGAATGAATATCAATGCGACAACAAGTTCTTACGAGGGAATTTATCCAACTGATAAATCGCTTTTTAATCGGAACTAGGGGTGGCACTTTAACTTTAAATTTACCGTAAATTGCAGAGTTTAATGTTGTTTAAAGTCACGCTTAAATGCTTCTTTTTGGAGTTTTATCTGTTGCAGAGAGTCTCATAGACATGTCTAAATACGTCAGCACAGTAAAAAGTATTAAAAAAGAAGCGTTTAAAGGCGACTTTAAACCTTACTGTTACAGTAAAGTTAAAGTGTCACCCCTAATCGGAACAATGTGCATTCTGCAAGTCCTAAAGAACGATGAACATCGCGAAAAAATTTCGTGGCACTAACTTATTGTTATCGAGATACAGCATTTTTACGATATTTTTCATCACTCAGTCTTGGATCCCCTCAGAAACACTAAGAAAGTGGAGTTTCGAATTTTTTTCTTGAAACTTTGCGTAGAGCGACAGGTCACGATGGAAATAGTTAATCGTGAAAATTTCGGATTGTTTCGCTGTTCCTATTCTGACTTAAGAACATCGAATCTGATAATGTATATGATCGATCATAAAGCAGGCTATTATCTATCATAGCCCTATCTTATGATAGTAACAGCCAAAAGATCTGAAACTGACACAATTAACTATTCTCATTGACGTATGTCTCAGTGCAAAGTTTTAGGTCAACATTTAGAACTCCATTTTTCTAATGCACCTGAGGGGAACCATGGTCAGGTGACGAAAGATATTGTAAAGCGATCTACCAGTTAGATATGTTCCCTCATTATTCCAATCTATGCAAGACTAATATATGAGCAATCCTGTAGGTTTAGGTTAGGAGCGTTAGTTTCTAATTATGGCTACAGGATCCCAGTACCGAATTCCGATTCCCAAGAACTGGAAGCTCATAGCAACTCTTTTTGGAAACGCTACAAAACGCTTTCTATACTTCCATACTCATATTATAGACTGTATGTCAGAAACAAAAGTCAAAAGCATTTACTTGAAAATAAATAGCAAATTGAGATAATTCATATGTGAGATTGAAGGTTGGAGCTAACCAAGGTGGACTACCATGTGATTCTACATATGGATCAACTTCGATTGCTGATGACGAACTAGAAAAATTGTAAAAATCAATATAGTTTATCGATTAGAAGAGGAAAAATTCTGTCAGACATCAAACTGGTTAGTCTTAGTTCAGAGATCTAGAGAAAACATTTTTCAATCTACTACTTCACCTAGTGTTTCATTCTGTTGAAAGCTTAATTTCGTCTAAATTATTAAAGAAGTATGTTATTTTACTTCAAGAAAAAGATATATTGTGAGTTTTATTGAACAATTCATGTCAGACAAAATTTGCTCCGTGTAAAACTACGAAACTTACCCATAGAGAGATCTCCATCGTCTAGCAGTTAACGCTAGCAATTCTTTTTTTGTCAGTACGCTTTCGAATGGAAATTGATTAACTAATTTATTGTTTAATGTTTCATGGCGAAAATCTTGAATAAGTTTTTCAATAAATATAATATCCGCTTGATCCATATTATCAACAAGCTGATAATGTGGATCAGTTAAATACTGTTTAACAAATCCATTGTCGGTGTAAACCTTCCAAATATGTTCTTTATCGAATTTTGACAATTGAATTTTATTAGAAATTTTATCATATAAATCATTTTTATGGCTTTCTTCAAATAACTCTGTTTTATTTTGAAGTCTTGTTGTAAATATTTCCGGACAATTTTCAATTGTTAAACTACGAAGAATTGATTTACGAGAATAAACACGTTGCCATGGTAATAATTTTATGTTTCTATCAAGTGGATTACTATTATCATGAATATAATTTCGAAAGATTTCAGTATATGATTGTTCAATACGGACAATTGGATAGAATAGCGTAAACATTGTTTGGCTTGGTTCGAAAAAAAACGAAACACAACGAACATTTGCATTGCTACTCGAATAACGTATCGATGAACCCAATTCATCCATGACATACCTAGATGTATGGGGAAAAAACCATATAGGCATGTGGTAAAATTCTTAATATTGACTCAAAGGCTTTGTTTCTTTTTCCCTTTGCTGCGCAATTCTATTTTGGTTTATTTAGCAAAATAAAAGCAAATAGTAATATTTTATGGTAATGGAAAGTCAATGTGAATTATCATCAGAGACGCATAACTTCGATAAGATGGCAATTGACGTCATGAAAACAAGGAAAGTACAAAAAGAAAAAGTATTGATGTGATTTCTTCCTGATAGTTTCTTATCAAAGGATACGTGGGCTTATTATTTTTTTTCTTGTCTGATTCTTTCGAGCTTACCAATAAGGTTCTTGTCTTGCTTCTAAACCTGCATTTGGATTGAATTGTGTTGATGCTAATGTATAAGTTTGATTGAATTTCCACATACGTTGCAGTATTAACTCGATGCCGTCATCCTTTGTGTCGGAATTAACATTCATCAATGATGCCATGCGTTCATATAGATTCGGAATCGATTTCAAATCATTTCTTGCATCACCGATTCTATAAGTCCAGGCATGATCAATAAGAAAGATAGCGTTTTCATCATTTTCTGGATCGAGTACAACATTTTCAAGCGTTGAAACATAAAAACGACGTTCAGGATTATATGGTTTTTCTAATTCTTCATCGTCGTCATCAACTGGACATAATTGAAAATACGAACCACTATCAAATATTGCATTTTTCATTTTTTCATACAAACGTCGATGAAGATGTTTCGGAATATTATTAAACACAAGTTGTAATTGATGTGTTTGTAAAAAGTGATTATATTCATCGTTACGATCATCCATGATCTAGAAAAAATCTATTCTCACAAAAGAAGATTGCAAAGCCTCCCACAACAACTTTGTTCACGTGCACCGCATAATTTAAGAGAAGAAAAACAAAAGCAGTGTGCATTTTAACTGGCACTCAATCTAAATAGAATTCATTGAAAATGATTAATTACAAAACGAACAACAACAACAACAACAACAACAGCAAGAAAAAAATAAAATATGGATCAAAAAAGTAAATCAGTCGTTGTTGACATGGAACTCCATTGAATATTATTTGTCATATCAATCATTGGTTTGTCTTGTTTCGATACGGAATGATTTGAATAGTTGCCCATTGAAGAAAAATAGTTTTCTCGGGAAAATTTATCTGACAAATGGGAATTTGTTATAGAGTCATGTTGTGTACCTAATTCGTATTGATCGAGATAGCTTGGACGAAACGTATGTAATGTACCTAAATAAAAATAGAATTCAACCGTTTAGTATTAACTTACAATTTATAAAGCTTCTTAACCATTTGAGTTTCTTGTTTTTTCTTATTTTGTCTGTCGGTAGTCTCTATCTATGGCCTTTTATTTTATTCTATATATTCCTGTCCTTGTACACATCTGTTAGTTTTCTTCTTGCTTTATCTATTCTTTCTTTTGTGAGGCACGTTGCCGTAAATGAAAAATGGCAAACACTAATCGAATTTTCATGTAAATGCATTCTTGTTATTTTTATGCAGAAGAATGTATGAGAACACAACAGGAAATCGTGCGACAGAGGAAGAACTAATGGAAATTCAAGAAAGGAAGAATAGCAAAAACAAAGCGCTATTGGAGACCGACAACAAAACAGCCGAGCTGCATATTTTTCATATAATAATGCTGTTTAACAATTAGAACATAAAAAGGTCTTTGCAGATTCTCATACCTTTCGATTGAAGTGTTTTGTCTGTCTGAGCATTTGAATTAAATTTTGCATTAATACTTGCTAATTCTTCGAGTTCATCATCATCAACGTCATCTATTGAATGAATTATTTTTCCATTTAAATTATTATTTTCGATACTATTTGTACCATTTTGATTCGATAGGCCATTTTCATAATCATCATCATCATCATCATCCTCATCATCGGAAAGACTAATACCAAATTCCGCCATTGTTGCATTGTATGACGGATACTCGAATGTATCGACACTATCAATGAATTGTACTCGAGTATCCTAAATTGGATAGATATAGAAAATTAGATACACATAGAAATTTATCAATACTTTTTTGCTTCCTGAAAAAATAGATGATTTATTTAGTTTAACATTCCCACCAATAACATCGGGAGTAGAAGTTACTTCCATTGGTGTTGGTGTCGATGTAGGTGACTGTTCATCTTTTGTTGCCGATAAAGGTGGCGAAGGTATTGAGACTGGTAGAGTTGATGTGAGATCACCATTGACTTTGGCTCCACCAAAAAATGTTACTGATTTATCTGTATTAACAGCGGGTCGAGCAATTGCATCTAATAAATTGTCTTTTCTTTCTAAATGATGATGTAACGCAGGTTTCGTTAAAAAATTTGGTGGCGGGGGTGGCGCAGCCGTTTTATTATGATTTGAAGGTTTCGTTTTGTTGATCGAAATATGAGAATTTACTTGTGTTTGTTCCATTGTATTTGTACGATTAAATAACGCTAGACGACTTTTAAAATCCAGCGGCTGATATTCATCATTATCTGGCGATGAACTTGTCGAAACTAAAACATTTGGGCGATTTTGATTAACACTAGCGTTCATTGTTTCATCATTAGTTATATTTAATGGTAAATTTTTTCTCTTATTTTCACTATTTATACTTGCATCACTAATCGTTTTATGTGTTTCAATATGAATTGTGGCTGGTGGTGTATGTGATATAACTACATCAGGATATGATGTTGATATAGGTACGGATACCGATGGAACTAATGTCGATGTATGTGTCACTGGTGTTGTTGTTCGCCGTTGTCGTACAGCCATATCATTTGGCGATATACTACGTGAACGAGTTGGACTTGAAGTTTCTCGATGTTGACTGTTCATCCGTGAATTATGAGGTACTGGTGTATTCGGTATTTTATCACTGTCATATCGACTCAAACGTATTTGTCGTTCAAACATTTTTTTGACAGTTGTAACCGTGCCTATTGAAGACGAGAAAACAGAAGTTTTAGGCAAGATTAATCACCTTTATGTAATTATTTATCGTTCTAACAGTGTGATTCGAAGTCAAAAATTTTAGTCTCCAGGGCTTAACTGTCGGCGCAATTTTGGTTCTATTTTTGACAACGACAATTTCGTACTTCAGAACCTATTAGCCTATTCATGTTGAAATTCAAAAGGGAAATTCAAAATGCAGCTGCTATTGTTAATGAGAATGATTTTTATTGTAGTAGATCTATTTTAGGATAAATGTTGTCAGCATTATTTTCCTTAATCCTACAGAAATACAAATAAAACAGTAGCTCATCTGTATATGAGAATAATATTCTACTATAAGAAAATCCTTAATCGTACATGAACGAAATATATCACAGTATGAAGATGGAATTCAAACTCTTTTGTCTATACATCAACACTCACGTCATTATCGGTTTATTGTACAAAAAGAAAACTATTAAATTATGGGAATGACGTTTCAAGATATGTGTAGCATTTGTTTTCATAGAATAGCACAATTTTCCAGGGGAACTCACCTCTGGGTCTGTTCGAACAGATTAAATCTTTGCCTGATTGTTATTTTAGCAGTTCTTCTGATTGGATCTGACATTTTGGAAAGCATGTCTCGCTTAGTCGAATTATAATCTGGTAGATTTCTGAGAATAATTTTCTATGCAATAGAAAAGAAAATCTTCTACAACGCAATGCAATGCCTATGTAAAAACATCCTCTACAAATAATTTCGAGCGAGTGAAATATGTTTGAGAAAATGAAGTCTATTAAATCATATCATCGGATATGGAGGAACTTAATAAATTAAAATATCGAGAAAAATGAAACCATTAATCGAAGGGAAATGAACCGATGAATGGATTTTCTAGCATTGAAAGCTACTTTGAAACACAAACCCTCCAGTCTTATATTCTAAAAAAAGAAAGTTGACTATAGGAATCATAATCGATCGATATAAAGTAAGAGGTTCATTATTGATTTTCTTTCATTTCAAAAATCTATATAATCGATCGTTAGGAATTTATTCATGGAGAATGCTTCGTATAATAAATAATTCTATACGAATTTTATCTTATTTCGGGTCTCTTCTATCGACTTCTCACATACCAGGCTTTGGTACTTCGTCAATATGTAATTCTGTATAGGAATGCCGAGATGTAGCAAGAATTTCATCATCTGATATTGTTCTTTCAACAATAATAACATCTTGTTTCGGCTGTAAATATGAAGCAAATTGTTCTGCATTTATCAAATTATCTTGACTTTGCGATAAACGTGCAGTTTGTTTTAACGCTGATGTTAACGATTTAGTTTGAAGTAAATTTTCATTCGATGATATACGCAATGATGGTTTCGATAATAAATGGCGTGCAACGATTGAATTATTATTTGATAATAGAGATTCATTTACTTTATCGAATAAACGTTGTTTCATGGAATTAACAACACCATATGGCACGTGATCATTCTCAATATGTCCATCAGTAGTTTCATTTAATTTTGGCGTTGAACGATAGGTTAATGATGTTTGTTTTCTTGCTGCAGATACATTTCCATTTACATGAGGATTAGAAAAATAATGACGCGAAGTTGTTGACGATGATGGCACTAGGACGGACATTATTGGCAAAAAGAAAATGCACAAAGAAATATATATATATATATATTACATCATCTGAAGAAAAAAGAAATGTTTAATTCACAATAATTATATTATTCTCTATGGAGAGAGAAAACAAAAAGTTTGCGTCTTGGTTCGTCTGTGGCAAAAGAAGTAGTTGCTATATTCTCGAAAAAAGTGAACAAATAAAAAACAAAAAGAAACGATTTCTTTCTCTTTTCTTCTATTGATTTTTTTCTTACCTTAACAAACAAACAAAACGTAATCCAAGCAATTATTAACATAAAAAAATATATCATTGAAAGTATCCGGGTAAACTATTTAGAATTTTGTTAAATATGTACATATTCTCACTTACGAAGAATTAGATTTCGTGTACTATATCGTTCATGTCGACTTTAATTGCAACGTTATTCATCATATTTGCACATAATATAACATTTAAATGTTTTATATACCCGAAAAATCACATAAAAAAAAAGAAAAGAAAACGACGACGGTACAACATGACATTATTTTTAAATAAAAATTTATTTCCGCTTGGTAATTCATATCAAATGGGACAATAGGAAAAAATGAGGCCCGTGCATGACTATGAGAGTTAAATCTAACGATAGTCATGTCACTTGTCTCCATCAGTGTAAAGAAATCGAGCAACTGACATGCACGCTTATTTGTCTCCGTATATCTTTATGTCTTTCGCTTTCTTTTTTCTTCTACTTGTATTTAATTGCCGTCAAACAGCTATATGAATCGTAATAGGATGTCTCGATTTTTCTGTCGTTAGTGAATGTAGACGATAAAACGACTGACTCTCCCAATTATGCATGCATAGGTCCTTATTTCATATTATATACAAATAGAATAGCTAACGAATGTATTATGAAATAAGTAAAAGCAATTACAGTGATTACGAGCGGTTTAGTTAGCTTCTAAATGATTGGTGAAAGAAGGTTGAGCTTCTCAACGGCATTGTTTGTGACTCGCCTATAATTATGATTAAAAAAATATATTTCTTTTTTTCAGGCCGACAACGACTCCACCCTTTCTTTAGAAATTCTTACTTGTTCTATCACTGCATTAAACTGAAGGCTTTCATACTTTTTCGATTCGAAATGCATTATTATAATGAAACATGCCTGTGTACAACTCTTGTGTCTTCATATGAAATATATTGGTAGAGAATTTCTATGGCTTTTGTGTGACATATTTCATGTGATTGAAGGACTCTTGACAGCTATTTTACAGCAGAGAATTATGTATTAGATTGATTATGATCGACTTCAATGAAAGTACTTTAAAATATGGTATTGTTGTGATTCTATTCTACATGGTTGATTTTTTTAATTTTTTTATTAAATTTACAAATTAAGAATTTTTATTCTAATTTGTTTGAATTAGAATAAATAAATCGCGTATGTTGATAATTTTCAAGAAAGAAAAAGAAAAATTATTATGAATAATTCATGAACTATCTTTTGATAGTTAATCAATCATGAAAGGATATATATTTTGTAATAACGAACTACGTAGGATAATAATAATTGGTTAGGAAATTAATGTATAACGTTATCTTCGATTTCGTGATTAATAAAACTAACAGAAGTAGAAGTAGAAATTGTGAAGCCCTAAAATAATTTTTTTCTTTGAGAAAGCAAAAAACAAATCTCAATCCTATGGAAATTAAAGGTGCTTCAGGAAAACGATCAAGTGTTTTTATTCTTGTACGATAAAAAATTTATATTGAATGCAAAAATCGACATATAAATAGTTTTAAAGAAGAAAAACGTTCTAATTACTGTGGAACAGAAAGAGAAATTTGCATGTCAGTCAAAATGCTCAAATTTCCCGATAGACAAGAAAATACGATGATCTAGTGAGTTCTTGTTGGATCCTAATTAATCTCTAGGATTTCGCGCAAACTCTATTCTAATGACGGAAATTAAATAAATAATTCAAACCTTAGAGAATTTCCCATGAAGTAGCCAACATTCATTTTGATTATATTTTTTACACTGCACTTGATTTTTCAACTATTTGAGTCTACTAACGAAATAAAAAGGTTTTGTTGTTCTTATCTTGGCGACAAGATTCCCTACTGAAGTTATTTATCGTATGGCAAATACGAGCAGAATTATTCAAAAGACGTGATCGAATATTTAGAAAAAGAAAAAATAACACACTATTCACTCAGTATGAATCACAGTGTGCAAAGAAATAATATTTTATTGTATTTATTTCATCTACGAATATATCTTTTCTGTTACATACCAATAAACATATACATTTCATTAGGTATTGCTTAGGGTACAGAGATCAGTATTAGCACTTTTTTCGAAAATCTATGAAGGATTTCTTTATTTATCAAGAAATATTCTCTTTGCTCCAAAAAAAAAGAATCTAAAATAAAATTCATGTAAATTATGAAAAACAACAACAACGATCTTATGCTCTCATTTGAATATCTTCTTCGAAAGAGTCTTTTGACTTAATCAAGAGTAGATCAATAAAGACTTATTCGTAGAATTACATGGGATAATAAAACAAGAATTTATCAAACGTGCGGCTGGTTTATTATGTGAATAGAACAAAAAAAAATAGATAATCTAAAAATTCTGACTAAGTTTATTTGGTCAGGCAAACAGAAGAAAGAGTTTAGACGTTTATACAAGGAAAAATGATAGTTGTAATCTATTGCGTTTTCGTCATTAAATAATGATATTATATACGGAGAAAATCATCGCTTAATATGGTTAGTTAAATGTACAAAAAAAATGAAGGAAAGAAAGAAAGTGATAGTCCAATCGGATATCCTGTTTGTAGGAAAATGTCTTGCTAATTTGTTCATTTATTATTTTCATCTCCATTGGTTGAACGTTTACGATTTTTCTGCGGAACTTTTGATGAAATATCCTGATTGACGATTTTCTTGCTTTCTAATTGTTTGAGAAGACTTTGCAATTGCTCACATACATTTGGAACGTCTAGTTGTATATCTTCCATATCTTCAAATAAACGTAGAATGCCAGTTTTCAATTGATCATAAGTAATAACAGCTGTCTTTGTTAATGTTTCAAGTAATGCTATTGTTAATTGTTCAGCACTGAAAATTAAAATGAATATTCTCAGTGCGATTCGAATGTTTTTTCGCCTCGATCTAGACGAATAAATCAACTAACCGTTCAGTATTTTTTTCCAAGCAAAAATCAATCAGCTCATAAACAAATTCATGAAAAAAATGTGGCACATTTAATTCCTTTAAACAACGAACTGTTTCATTTGCATCGCCGCTATCGTAGTATTCATGAATAATTAAGTTCATTCCATCGGCTAACTCTTGGACAGGTCGAAAACCACCTAAAAAATATTTATTTTCAAAATTATTAATATCGTACGCGTTATGAACATACTTGATTGAGCTCCCCAAACATTATTAAGAAAATAGAAGTCTCCCATCAGCATAAGCGTTTCAGCTTTATCCAGAGCGATTTGCATCTTCGGACATGTAACATGGCCTTTATAGTTTGCAAAATATTTTCCATTCGTATTAGCAATACATTTATCAGCAATGGATCGCGCAATGAATTTACCTATAGTGATAGAAAAAAAAACTCATGTAGAATATGCGGAACTCGTTGTTTCTTGTTTTCTTCATTACCAATATCAGTTGAACATTCAGGATTATCAAGTGATAGATCATTTAATGTTGTTAATAATGTATCGAAGCCTTTAATGTAATCATTTACACAAAAAACAATGCCATTAAGATCATGCAAAAGACGCGATACTAATTCTTTATGAACATTGGATTTCTCCAATGCTAATGTAACCACATGAGCCAATAATTCTCCTTCTGCAAGTTGTTTTAAATTAAATCTGCGTAATGCTTGTGCAACATCCTTTGCATCACCGTTAACAAAATATTCATCAATTATTGGCTTAACATCTTTTTCTAAGCTTTCAATTGACTTTATTTCATGTATTTTTTTCTTTGTCGATTGATTTGATGTTGCAGCCACAAATTTCTCTTTAGCCTGATTATATTGTAAATCTAATAGATCTTCTTCATCGAAATCTTCGCGAAATTCATCAAGTAATTCAGAGCCTAATGCACCCCAAGTAAAGTGTCCGCCACTACCACCTTTTTTTGCTAAGCCACGACCTTTACCTATTGAAAAAATAAAACAAAATAAATGCTAGTTTTCTTTAAAAACCAAACCTTGACGTGATTTACGATCATTCTTCTTTGTCATCTTAGTATTTTTCTGTAATAAATGTTTTTGCGCATCTGTTGGCGAACCAACATGTTGTGCATTGGAACTAGATCCAGAATTTTGACGAATATATACACGTTTACGTTCGGATGTTGCTGAAGACGCATCAGGACTAGTGCTCATATTGTTCGATTGCTTTTTATTATTATCATTTGATGAGCCTAGTTGTGCAATGAGAGCCTCTACTTCCGCTTTTTCTGTCGCTGACGAACTCATACTTTAGTTAACACAAATCCGTGAAGTTATATTTTGTTACTTGTACTTTTCAAATGTATCACCTGATTAAAACATATATTTTTGTCAGATTTTTATTTGATGCGCAATTGAATAGCAAAAAGACACAAGTAAATAATAGCCAGCCATACACAATCAGTGTTTCTTATTATTGATCAGTTTCTAGCAAATCACATTACTAGAAGTCATGTGCTTTAAAAAAATGAATTCAATCTTCCTGTTGCTAAACGAAAATCAACCTAGAATAGGAATAAAATGCGTCAAAATTTTCGTAAATATTGAGGTGCATCATTGATAGATGTCGCTGTCAGTTGATCAGGTCTAGGTTTCAAAGAGAAATCCTAGAAAGATTTTGAATCATTTATCCTATTTGATGATGTATTTAATAGGAGAAAAAACTTTAATAATGATCTTTCTCATAGACAACTAGACTTATATCATAGTTTTGAAACACGCAAAGATAATATATAGACAAGCCAAACAAGAAAACTGAGACAAAATTCAACTTTACAAAACATAGAAGAAGAAAAGGAAAAAATAGTATGTCCGAAAGAAAAGAAAACAATCAAAATTAAATAACTTTATATCGACCACGATTGACAAGTTGTAAAGCTGGATTTTGCTATAATGGAAAAAAAGTGTATTTAATTAAATTAGAATTCTTTTGTTTTTGTTTGAAATCAAACTTACCATTTTCATCATTTCTTCTTTAATTAATCGAGCAACTTCTGCTTTAGCAAGTTGAAGACCGCGTTCAGTTAATGATTCAATTTGTAAATAAAGTTTTCTATCACCTGCTGCAACTTCTTTATTATTTGGATAATATTGACCACGTACTGACATACCAACATCAGCATAATCACAAATATGTGCCAATGTTTCCTAATTTAGAAAAAGAAACTCAACTACATTTCATCTTATTTTTAACGGATTTCTCTTACTTTGCTTGTAACTTTCCATCGGGCATTTTGTGGAAAATCATTTATTTCTAATTCTTCTTCAAATATCTTGAATGCATCCTCAGTAACTTGTACTTCTTCTTCTGGTTTTTGGTAGTTCAATTTTTGATTTAATTCGCCAGCTCGTTGTTGTGCCACAATGCGACTCTACAAGAAGATACAAATAATCAATTTTCGGAAGCATCTTCTCGAAATACTTACGGATACAGCTGGATTTAATGTACCACCACGTTGAAACAATGATGTTGTTGCTTCTTGAATAGAATCTCGAGTTTCTGCTTTCGTAAATGTAAGCCTTAATAGAAATCAAACATTAGAGTCGAATGTCATTGGAGAAATTTTGATATTCAATCAACAAGATAATTCGAGATGTAAACAGTAGAAAAGAAAAGCACCCCTATCTTTCAATGATTAATCTTAGCTCTGTTCCATCAGGCATATTGCATTGGCCATACTACTTCATGGATATGAGTTGACTAATTTTTCTGATTGAAGCAATGGAACTTCGATTTTTCTTCATATGACTATGAAATTGATGATTTTAGGAAGCGCGTAACAATTTTTTGAGAAATGGCTCAAACCTGTTGGTACTTTATATACTGAAAATTTTCTCTTAAAAGTTCAACATCTTTAGGGAAACTCGGATGTAATCGTTTTTCGTTGTGATTTGAGTGAAAAAGTAGATGTACTCAAGTCATATTAGAGATTCTTCTGCTATTAGTCAAACAAAATAATATTTACCGAGCTGCTAATTGTTTAGCTTTTTCGAATTTTGATGCTGTGTCATTGGCAGCAGTTGAACCACTACCATCTTCATTTTGAGCAGCTGGTGCATTTGGTAAGACAGGTGCATCACCTTTGGCTTTAACTGATTTCTTACTATTGAATAACGATTGAATTTGTTGATCAATATCTTGACTTTCTTCATCCTCATCCGAATCTGCTAAACCCATTACGAGTTTTTGCATTTTCTTTTGTTCATCTTTCAATTGTGTTTCCGAGGAATCAAATTTATAACCATGCCCACTAAAACCACCAGTAGTTTTGACTTTTTTACCCATCGCTTCCATTTTCTTAGTATAACCATCCCATAATAATCTTAAATCTTCCGGTACAGTAGTACCAGACGATTCGAAAGCTCGTATAATATCGCAAGCATGTCGTTCCTGTGCTGGTGTAATAAATGTATAAGCAAAGCCCTTGTTTCCTGCTCGACCCGTCCGTCCACAACGATGTACATAATCTTCATAATGATTCGGACAATCATAATTAACAACAAGAATTAAATCTTTTACATCTAAACCTCGTGCAGCAACCGATGTTGCAATCATTAATGGCATATCACCCCTTTTAAAATCTACCATTGTTGAGTCACGATCGTATTGATCTATGCCACCATGCAATGACATGCATGGATATGAATTTCTTAGTAAATTTTTCATTAATTCATCGCAATGTTCTTGTTTATCGACGAAAACGATAACAGAACCTTGCGGTTGATAAATACCAAGTAATTCGAGTAGTTTTAAATATTTTTGATCATCATCAAGAATAACCTTTTGAAATAGAAAGAGAGTAAATGTTTGGTTCAACCTAGTTTTGATACTTACAACATTTTGTTCGACATCTTCACAAACACTACTACGTCCACCAATCATAACTTCAATGGGCTTGTGAAGAGTCTTACGTGCTAATGCTTCCATTTGTTTTGGAAATGTCGCTGAAAACATAACTGTTTGACGATCAGGTCGAATACTATCCAGAATTTTCATCACCTAAAAAAATCATATTGCACGCATTTGAGTTTGAGTAATATAAGATCGCCTAAAAAGCAGCGTGCTCGACTCGTACATACCTGTGGTTCAAAGCCCATGTCAAACATTCGATCGGCTTCGTCGACAACAACATAAGTAACTCGCCGAACATTTGTTACTTTACCTAGAACAAAATCAATCCGTGAAAATCAAAATCTAAACTTCTCTACATACCACCATTTGCAGCTAACATATCAATCATGCGTCCAGGTGTACATACAATAATTTCTGCACCACGTTTAAGTTCTGCCTGAAATATACATCATATGTATATCAAGGTAAGCAATTTATATTATAAAAAACAGAAGTCAAACATACAATTTGTTCTGATATTCCGGTACCACCGTAGACAGCAACACAACGGATATCAAACAGTTTAGAAAACTTTTTACATTCTTTTGTTGTTTGCAATGCCAATTCACGAGTTGGTGTCATAATGATAGCTAAAGAAGAAGCAAAAGTCGAAATAAAAAACAAATTCTTTTTTTTTCTGAAATTTAGTTTTACCTATTGGACCATCATCGCCTTCCAATGGCGGTTGATCTTTTATATGCCGGAACAATGGCAGAAGAAATGCTAATGTTTTACCACTGCCTGTTTTAGCAATACCAATCATGTCTCTACCAGAAAGAATAATTGATAATGCTTGAGCTTGAATTGGTGTTGGCCTTTCATAATTGGATCTAAATAAAATATGATTTTGTAAAACGAAAAGAAACAAGTAATTCGTCTACTTTTTTAAACATTGCAAAATTTTATCGGATGTAATACATTGTGACCAAGCCTTGATTGGCCTCGGACATCGTTTACCAGTTACTTTAATACCATCGAGCTCTTCTCGGTAAGCAGCAACCTCTAGAAACAAGAACTTTAACAATCGAGAGAGCTTTTTGTCTACTTTATCTACTTACCGAGTTCTGTCATACAAGCTATTTCAGGGACAACTGTATAGAAATTTTTACGAAATGGTCGATAATATATTTTTTCATGATTGGTTGTGATCATATCCTTTAAAAATATAGAACTATATATAGTAAATTAGTGTTTATTAACTTACTGCTTTCGATTTTTTAGTACTCATGGCAAATAACTCGTCAAACTCTTCAGCTGGTTTAGCAGTTTCTTCTTCCGATGAATATTCTAAACCATCAATATCTTGTTCCATAATAAGACCTTTTTCTTTAGCACGTTTAGCTACACCACTACGAACTGAAACACGTGATGTAACTGCAGAAGATTGATCAGTTGTATCCATGGGTTCCGGTTTCGCTGCCGATACATTAGTATGATGACCATTCGTTGTTGGCAACGTACCATTGTTTGAGATAAGAGTTGGTCCAGCTGACTATAAATAAGCAATTTTTTTTTAAAGTTTTAATGTAAAAAAAACTACTATTGGATCTTGTTCGGGTTTTAACTCGTTTGAAATTCTGTAAAGAACGATTCAATCTGATTTATGAGAACTCTAGTTCTGGTTCTTACTTCACTGTTGAACTTTTTGGTAATGACTTTAATAACTGATGCTTTGCCATTGTTTGATGTTTGTTCCTGTTTAATTCCTTTTGTGTTATTTTCATTGGATTTTGTTGACACAATCGTAGCATTTTGTCCACGAAAACTTTTAACTTCTTTTGCAATCGTTTCCATAAACTTATCTAAAGGATCGTCGTCGTCCTGTTCTGCTTCAAGTTTCGCAGCATTAGCAGCACATGCAGCCGATGCAATTGCAGCTGCTTCTGCCGCACGTTCGAGTGCTTCACGTTGTTTATCTGCTTGTGAAGATAGTAATGCTTCACGTGCTGCAGCAACATCACGTTTAATATCCGTTGTTGGCATAACAACGTTTTGTAAATCTTCTTCTTCTTCATCACCTTCGTCTTCTAGTGACCAAGCTTTACCCTGCAAAGAAAAACAAAATAGGCTTTTATTCAGAAGAACTATCTTGTTAGAGAAAAGGTAGTGTCAAATCCGCTACTCTCCACTGAAGAGACTAGATTTTGTTATAGTTCTGAAAAAGATATTATACTTTTGCTATTTGTGCAGCCGACTGCTGTATAACTTTATCGATGCCAAGCATAGTTCGTCGTTCAGCTCGCCATTGTTCAATACGATTTTTACGTTTTTGCATTTCTTCTTCAAGACGTTTTTGTTCAGCTTCCTATTGGAGAATATTTGCCATGAGAAAAATTAAAACAATAAGCGAATCTTACTTTATCAAGAGGTTCATTCGCAGCTGTTGATGCTGGTGTCGTTTGACTAGTAGAAGTTTGAGGTAATTTACGTTCTTTATCAGTTGCTGATGAACTGTCTCTAACCGGAGATCGATGAGATTTACTACTCTTTTTTGCGTGTCTAGAAAATACAATTGTTATTTGAACTTGTCAACGAAGTTTTATCGTACTTTTTCGATGATTTGCCATCACGTTTATGTTTATCTCGACTAGATGAACGCCGCGAACGTTTCTTATCTTTTTCATTATTGGTTCGATGTGATGAGGAACGATGTGCTGGAGATTCATCGGATGTTGATGATGAACTTGATGAACGTTTTCTAAATCAAATAAATAAATAAATAGATTATTTTGTTTGAAAAAAACACAGATAAAATAGCGCGCAGACAGAAAAAAATCAACGGCAAGAGATAGAACATGGTTTTAGTCTAATTGTCGTCGGCATTGGTTTTAATAAAAAAAATATATTTAAGAGGTCTTCTTGTATGATCTTGGCCATGTTGAATCGAATCTTACAAATAAATTCAAGCTGATCTATGAAAATAAAGAAAAACAAATTGTAGAGTTGCAAAAATAAAATAAATCATCCTTTCAAAAACACCTTCTCCTGTCAATCTGTAAACGATCCTGCAATGTTCGCTGGTTTAGTTCAAGTGAAAAACTAATTTTCTCATTAAAATATACGTGCTTTCTACTCAAAATGAGTTCTTTTAAATGTCATGACAAATCTGTCTCTCATTCTGGTTAATTACACTATTATTGGCTCACCTTCAATAATCGATCTGATGATACCGATAGCAAATTTCTCTCAGCATCGACATAAGAATGTTCTTGTAGTTGCAGGTCTAAAATAAAAGATCAGTTAGTATACCATCGTATTAAAGAAAATTTCTGTTTCAATCTTTGCACTTAATTAGTGAAAGAATGAAGACTTTTTCTTACCATTAATTGTCGATTATTTGTAAATCTTGTTTGAAAATGACGATAAATGATTGACACATTGATGATCGTCTAAAAGAAGAATGGGCGCGCTTCTCATTCAGAATATTTAGCGCAAATAACATAAACGATGCGCAAAAAACAAAAGGATCATTGATTTTGAGAGAAAAACATGTTTACAAAAAGAATTTGACGAGGAAGAAAAGAAACGAAAATTGCTTACCGAGGTGGCATTATTTAGTAGTAGACAACGATGTGATCTAGAAATATTGATAATATGAGTTTGGAATAGTTGTGAAGTCTTGCAATAGTAATTTCAGACAAGTAAATGCAGACGAGAATCTTCTTTCGTAAGAAGCAGATATATTTGCCAATGGTAATCCTTGTGAATAGATGGCGCCAGCTGCTGAACAACCAGAGCTATTTCGCCGTTAAAGAATCGGAGAATTTGTAACGGTAAAAATAGCCAAGAAAGGCTGATCATTGCACGCCTGTGACTACTGGGAAAATAATTTAAAGTACATATCGAGCAGAACTAAGTTGCAACAGTTTGTTTTCATCATTCAAATTGAAAAAGAACTATTTTTGTCAAGTTTCGCCTCTTTATAAGTAATAGAAAATAATTAATGTTTTTATAGAAAAAAAAAATCTTATCACACGTGGACAGCATCGTCAAAAAAATCATGGTTAGAGGAAGGAGGAGAATAAAAAAAATGAGTAAGTTGTGTAAAAAAAAATACCCTCCTGCCTATATTGGCATTGTAGCAAAGAAAGAATTGTGAGACACAATCAAATATACCCAGAAGCAAAAAGTCCGAATATGGCAACGGCGTCTTCAGCTACTAACATCACCGATACCAGCGTAAATAATCTCGTTAAATGTGCTATATGTTTGGATTTCTACGATGACCCTCGTTGCCTACCATGTTCACACACATACTGTTATAAGTGTATCGTCGATTTATGTGCCGAAGGATTAGGACAATGCCCGATGAGAGACAATACGTTTATAAGTTCTTCTATGATTAGCAAGTTGCCGATTAATCGAGTAGCTAAAGATCTCGTGGAATGTATTCAGAAATCTGCACAGTCAAAAGTGCAGTCATCGATACGAACAAAATGTGATACATGTAAAAAGGTCGTATGTGAATTTATGTGTGAAACTTGTTCTAAACATTATTGTACAATATGTCTTAAACTTTTACATGATATAGACGCATTTAAAACTCATAAAATGAATATTTTTGTGGATGAAAGTTCCAGTAACCTTTGTTCAGAACATGTTGACGAAAAACAAAAGTATTGGTGCAGCTCCTGCGAAAAAGCTGTTTGCAGCGACTGTCTTTTATTCAAACATAAAAATCATCCATTTGTTACCTTGGAGGACATATCACAGATAACCAAAACGCAATTGAATTCATCTGCACAAAGACTTACCTCCATGCAAGAAGACCTTGAAAAACTAAATGAAAAGACTACAGAAGCTTTTCATAATCATTATCAAACACATGTTAAGACAAAGCATCATATTGAAAATACAATAAATCAACTACAAAAACTCTTAGAAGAACGAAAGAAATATTTAATTAGTACACTTTCAAAAAACGATGCTGTTCAACAGAAAATTATACAAACAGAAAAACAGGCCATTGACGATAATTTAAAGTCAGTTTTTATCAGAACACTATTTACAAAACAAGTATTAAAAATCGGTGATATTTTTCAATTAGTTAAAGTGAAGAACGATGTTATAAATTACAATCAATTGGTTGAAGAACAATCGAAACTATTGTTGCACGGCTTTACTTTTGATCTTCAAAACTTCACTACGGATCGGTATTTATCAAAACTACAAGCAGACCTTGAATATTTCGGACATATATCAGCAGAAACATTTTTTGCTAGTAGTAGTGGTACGCGTCCATTGCTTAAGTTATCGAAATTGGACGGCGAAGAAATAAATCAAGAATTCCAAGGAGCCTACGCATATGGTTATCGTTTTCAATTAAAATCACCATTAACATTGAATGCCGTACTCGTGAAAGTAGCATCATTCAGTGCTGATTTCACTATTTTCATCTTAGATAATGATGACATTGTTGTCCAGAAAAAAGTTATTAAAACAAACGATAACAATTCAACAGCCTGCAAATGGATAACTATTTCTATTGCCTTTGAGCTAAAACAAAACTACTACATTTTCATATGGGCAAAACCGACTGGGCAACATTCGCCGTTAATTTCTTGCAGAGAGTCCACCTACACTTTACGTCAAATTAATGAGCATGTTTCGGTACGAAGTAAACGTGCTAAAATTGATCCATTGAAAAATGTCGATATTAATACAAAACTAAATGTAATCTATGATGCTCTTTTCTCAAATGATGAGCGAAATCAAGCAATACCAGCTATTGAAATGGTTTTAGATACTTAGACAACAAATCATTATATGCATTTTTTTTTTACATATTCCTGAAATTTCTTATAAAGAATGTTTTTATCGCGATATTTCAATAAAAGCCAAGGCAATTTTCTATTGAAAATGGTATAGTTTAATAGGATGTGACTTGTACATTGAGTGTGGGCGTTGATGTCTGTATGTTTCATCAGTGGTGAAATATTGATTTATTTTAATTTCTAAATATTCTTGCAAGAAAAGGAAAGCGTTGAATGATCTCTTCATTTGTCTCCAAACCATCATTGATCAATTGTGTCAAATTTATTTTTAAATGTTCGAAGGAATTGAATTCGTAGAAATTCTTTCCTACCAAATAGGTTGCCCAATATGCAGCTGCTGAATCTGCATTTATGTTATCGGGATAATTATTGACTCTTTGCTTTAAGGCATAAATTTGATGAATAATTCTCTCCGGTGGATACGCTAGATTTAGCACTGAGCCAGAAATGGCTCCAGCAGCATGGTATATATCAGCATGACGATTGGGTGGCCAATTCATTGTCACTCTGGTATTGGAATCAACTGCGATCCAATTATCAAAGAAAATAAATTGACGATTTGGCAACGATGGAACATCGGATGTTTGGATGTATGATGGATTAATTGCTGATCCAGTAACGAAGAACCGAATGTTCGTTGGAATTTCATTCAGAATAGCGAGCTGTTTGCTCCAATCAATATCTGTAGAACTAGATGTTTTGGGTCGAGAGTAATAAGCAGGAATAATACCGATTAGTTCTATGTTTGTTATTTGATTCACAAGAGCTTGCATGAGATCTCTCTGTAATTCCATTTGAGCATTGGTACCAGCACCAGGCGTGTCATCCCAGCATAGAATATAGTATTGAATTCCAACTGCGGCTAATTGTTCTAACTTGCGCTGAATTTTTTGCAACGATATTTGAACATTTTCAATCCATCGAGGTCGTAAGCCGAATACAATTGAAACTTTAGAAGCTTTTGCAACAGTATCAGACCAATCACGAGTTTGCTGTGCGTCCCATAGATTCATGGTAAATGCATCGTCTCCAGTTTCTTGAGCACCAAAGAAATAATAATTTAAACCATCGCTCATTGATGAAATTAAATCGTCACGTTGTTGTTTCGAATAGAAGTTGGCCTGACCTTGAACTGCATCCGCATTTGACCAATAGTATCCTTCGATTAAACCATTGATTTCAATATCTGGAGATATTGCCATAATAGATCGAACCATGAGAATATGAACTAAACTTAGAAATCAAATATCCTACTATGTGAAAAATACAATACGTTTTACATACAGCAAATATAGTTTAGATATTTAATAAGCATTGCTTTTGAAACTAGAAAAGCGAAAAGTATTGCCAATAAAAATCGAATCACAGAATTCGAAAAGCTCTCAGTAAATATTACTCGAATATCAATAGGCGTTGCCTTTTCATAGTTCTGTATGTAGTAAATTGATAGGAATGAAATGAAGAAGTGTGAGAGACTAAATAAAAATAAGATTTCAATTTATGTGTGACAATGAAAACTACGTAACAACACATATCGCATGTGTCACGAGTAGGGGGTGCTACTTTCACTTTCCGTTTACTTTCAGAAAGGAAAGACAAAGAAAGTTGTAAATGCTTTCCTATACATGTTTTCGGTTTATCAAATGAATCTCTAAATGATATATAGTTGTCATTTTCAAATGTGTTTCTTGCTTTTGCTGTATTCATTTTATATTTCTTGAGGTGTCTCTATGTCGACATCATGGACCTCAGTAGGTTCCAGCCAAGGAGGGAAAGGCGGACTTCGGATTCCCGGGAGTTTTGGGATTTTTTTGGGAACCCTTGAATCCCCCTGGGATTTCTTGGGATTGGGGATCCCCCCCCCTCCTTGGTTCCAGCTCTTACTTACGCGCCAGAAAATTTGAAATTATGGTAGACTTTTGATAAAAATATATTACCGATATTATCAACAAATCTTTACAAAAATATCTGCTTTATTTTAATTCATTATATCCAAATGAAACGGAATAATATAAATCATTGATACAGCATAGCAGAGAAATATATAGTATACATGAAGTAAAATTGAGTTTTATTATAAACATATACAAAAGCGTAGTGTCTATGAAAATAAATTCCATAATATATAACATAATGAATATCAGTGTACCTAAATGTTTTTGTTTTTCTCGTTCTCTCAAATCTTACTTTGAACAAGTGTGGTGGAAAAAGGTATACATATATTTCTTGAGAAAAATTCGCAACCTACGCCCACACCCACACCCTAGTATAAGTAATGAGAAAAATATAGTGTCGAAGAAAAAATGCATTTATTCGATACCGCAAAACTGTGTTCTCGTCACCTTGTACATTTTCTGCTCAGTAAATTTCAAAATATAGTGGCTACAAGGAATAAGTTTCTAATGGCTAGTCCACTGAATTAATGATTGAAACAATATAGGAAATTGTTAGCTTGTGTATTTGCGCATCCAACCGAGTACTTCCTCATACCAGGCAACCGAATGTAGCGGGTTTAGTACCCAATGGTTTTCGGTTGGGAAATATAGCAACCGACTCGGGATGCCACGACGCTGCAAAGCTGTAAAGGAGCCAATTCCTTGCGTTTCTGGTATACGGTAGTCATGAGCACCAACAATAATTAACATTGGCTGTGTCCAATTTGCAACGTGATTGACTGGATTAAACTCTTCATAGACAGCTGGATTATCCCATGGAGTGAAATTTCCTACATCGTGCTCATTGAACCATAGTTCGTCTGTGGAATAACTCTTGGCTCTCGTATCAAGTGCACCATTGTGACAGATGAGCGTTTTAAAACGAAGACTCATTTCAGGATGTCCAGCAATCCAGTTAACCATAAATCCACCATAGCTAGCACCCAACGCTGCAGCTCGACTCGAATTAATATAAGGAAATTTGTTCAAAGCATAAGAAAGTCCTAATTTAAGATCTTCGTAAGGAAAAGAACCGTATTGACCTATAATACTGTCTGTAAAATTTTGTCCATAAGAGTCGGAACCATGAAAATTGATGGCAATAACAGCGTAGCCTTGAGAAGAAAACGATTGAAAATTCCATCGATAGCTCCATGCATCGTACCAACTGCTTTGTGGCCCACCATGAATGAGAAAAGCAAGCGGAGCTGAACTATCTGTGCCGTTCGCTGGTGGCACATGCCATCCCCAAACTGTATCATTTTGATAGCCAGAAAACGAAAATTTATCGGCTACAATACTCATTTTTACTTTACTCAATAGAACTTTGTTATGATCGGTGAGAGGTCGAATTGAACCATTCGACGAATATAAATAGATATTTGCCGGTTCGAGAATACTTTCGTGTGTGAAGACAAACTTTAGATTATCGATAGGATGAACATTGACATTGTGCGAAGTACCATTTCTAATCAGTAGAATGATCGATCGATCTGTAAATATATTGGATAAATAGTAGATCACATTGTCTGCTTCTTCGCCGATTTCAAGATAAAGGGATTGACCATCGCGAGACCATGTCACAGCTTGAATACTTCGATCACCGTTGTCGAGAACAATTATTGTCGTACTCGATCCTAAAATATGAAACAAAACAATGCACGCTGAACTAAATGAAAGTAATATGGCAGACTATTGTATATTTTAACTTTGAATTGATCAGACTCGTAGCCTGGAATTGAATGTGATCGGTAAACTAATATGCTATCATCTGTTGGCGAATAAGATGGATCCGTATCGGTTGCCACATTATCGCATGTAATGCACACACTTAAGTGTCCCGGTATACTCAGATCAACTGTCCATATATCTAAATTGGTTGTCCAAGTTACTGCACTCGTTTCATCGTATTGTCGAGTGTACGCAAACGAATTACCAGTTGCACTAAATGACCATTGAACTTTAGCATCGCCAAAAGGTCTTGTTGGTGAATCACTATCCACAGAGAACAGTACATCAATCGGTTTAGATGAAAAATTGAATATTCCATTGCTTTGTCGTGCGATTTGAACAAGAAATGGATGGTGACGCCGGCCTGTCATATATTCATCCCAATGACGAACGAATATTTTATCGAATTGATAAATCGAACGGTCGCTAGCTTTCTCGGCCATTTGTCGATCAGCTGTTTCTTCGATAGTTAAATTAGGATAGACTTGGCAGCTGAATGCCAGACGTGATGCTTGCCGGTTAACTAAAAGATTATCAATATTCAATGGATAATTTGTTATTTGAATCGGGTCGATGAAATCCGCCGTTTGTGCTACATTCGCAGAAAGTGTAAGTTGAAAAATTTGCCTAAGATCTGATGATGCTCGATTAGACAAAAATAGAATCGTATTATTATCGACCCAAAAGAACTAAAGAGAAAGAAACTAGTTTAAATAGATAAATCAACTATTTCTATTATTACTTGTTGATCATGTATGCCCCAAATGGGTCGTGTCAATTGAACAGTCGTGTTCGTTTCTAAATCAAGCCAATGCAAAGTTGTTGTTGATCCACGTAAATCAGGCATGTGATACTGTCGTCTTAAATAGATTACACTTTTTCCATTAATCGGATGAAATTGAGGCGATGAAAGACGGTCCAAACGAAGATTGTCCGATTGATCAAAATTACGTGGATTTATCAATGATTGATAGTATTCACTGTTTGATTGATAATCACTGGCGTTCCATGTTGTGGTTGGTGACGTTGTCATTATCGTTAATGGTGACGTCGTCACTATCGTTAATGGAGGCGTCGTCACTGTAGTCGTCGTTTGGACAGGGCAATTGTTGGAACGTCGAGCGATAACTACAACACATGGTATTAGTACGATGACTGCGCCCGACAAGAAGAAAGCAGAGAACAAAAGAACCTAAAATAAACAGTTTTAAAAACGAAAATGCCACATACAATGTTATCAATTTTAACCTTCTTGCAGTCGAGTCCCATTGTAAGATGAAAAAAGACGTTTCGATGAATGACAAAGTACTCTTACTCGTTTTATCGATTCGTTTTCTATGATATGCTGTAGATTTATTGCTTTGACGCTTGTATCCAGGGTGGCCAGATCAAAAATTGAAAAATCAGCAACTAGTTTTTCAAAATCAAAAAACAATCAGAAAATATCTCTGAAAAATCAGAAATTAATCAGAAAATGGCAGTTGTTGGCAAATTAGTACATCTGCCGCTAAAATACTGACATCCAAAGTTCTGCTGCGTTTCTGTTCATTGACTGGAACTTTATTTTCAAAGATATTTCAATAAAATGAAAGACAATATAGTGAATATATCGTTTAGCTAATAAGAAAACATCCATAAAAGATACTTAATCTTGAGCTTCGTTTTAAATTTAAAACTCGTTCACAAAAACGAGCAAAACTAAATCAAATACATTCTGCGTAGATTAAGGAGTTCAACGAGAAAAAAAAAGTTTAATCCCATCATCTCGGTATTATTTTTCATATTTCGTATCTTTTGGAATTTGCTCTAGGAAGTTTGTTTAAGATAGCAGATGCTAATAAAACATTCTCAAGAATAATTACCAATCACTTTTATTTTAAATTAAGCATTATCTGGTTTTATATTATCGGATTACAATAATCGGACTATAAATGCTTCATATAACCGAAAATCAATTCGACGCCAGAATTCGAAGGAGGAATCTAAAAGATGATTAATAGAGAAAATTGATGAAGCACTATTGATTTATTATAGTAATGGGTTATAATCGTACCTAATTTCAGTGGCAAAGCAGGATTTGAATATATTCCAAATTCAGAAAAAATCAGAAGATCAGAAAAAAAATCAGAAACATATTCAAAATTCAGAAGTTTTCCCTATTTTTCAGAAGATCTGGTCACCCTGCTTGTATCAATTACAAGAAATACCGTTTAGTGTAATATGTCGTAAATCTTATCATCATCGTTAAATCAATTGATGCAGGCGAAATGATAAAACTACCCATAAAAAAATCCCACCGAACACCATTTTTTTATTAACTTGCATGTTTTCACTAGAATTTAAATGCATTTATTCAAAAGCTTTGGCAAACATGCTTTTTCTCATTAAAAACGTAAACGAATTGCTCGCGAATATGTTTCGTACGATACGTTTTATTGGTATTAAGACGTATTTCTTCCCTACAAAAATATTTTCCTTGCTCGTTTACTCTTATGGATTTAAGATATTGACACTATTCTATTGCAAAAGTCAAAGCATAGTCAACATACAAATACTTCTTCTATTTATTGATTGATGCTTCACTTTTTGTCAGATCGTAATGCACCACTTGAGTGAGTTAGATATACTGCGTATTTTTCAATATTGACTGCAATAAATCATTCTCGACATCTTTACAATTTTCAGCAAAATAGTTACTAAAAAGTGCGCGATAGAGTGGCGTAAATGCAATAAAATAATTTTTATCAACAAATGGATTGAGAAAGGCTTTCGCAAGAGACATAACGAATATATGATTTTGACGATACAATATTTGGTTAGTAAAATAAATGAAATGATCAGTATATATATATATTGCTTGGTCTGTGTTAAAAATATCAGTTAATAATTATGAAGTGGTCAGCTTATTATGTATAGGTGACAGTAGAAAAATACAGTTTATACCAGTAAAAAAAGGAGAAATTTGATCAGTATAAAGTATACTCTAGTACAAGAAATAGAAATATACAAAAAGAACCATAGAAAAAATTGCAAGAAACCTACTGAAGCATTACGTAAGAAATCGATGAATTATTGCTAACAAAGGGAACGAATAATATCTTACAATCATCATGATATAAGCAAAGAGATGCAAGAGTTGCATTGAGCATCACAACATTTGGCTTTTTTTTACACCTGTAATAAAATTTTCTCTCATCTTCGATATAATTTGTATAATGTTTTGGCCATTCATTTAAATCGATTCTTCTGCTTCACCAGCATTATTAAATGTTGGTTTTTTAATCCAAATTTTTTTTATGAACTCCTTCTTTTCATTTTTTCTTCATCCGATAATCTATCGCTGTCATATTGTCTGACTTGTATTGCTTTCATCTGTGAGTCTATCGTTTTATTCGCTGGATGATAATCGTTTATCAAAAAAAAAAATTGCAAGTTTATATAGGCATTAGATAGATAGCCCCTTGATCTGGTTAGACGTGTAAGCCGACGCCTCGGTTGGCGACGGCGGCGGCTCGAAAATTTTACATGCTATTTTAAAAAAATCTTCGTAGTTTTGAGAATTATGTAACAAAAAAGGAAAAATGATAGTATAGAACGTTTTCTTATTAACAGTTAGATCAGAAGAATTCAAAATACTGTTTCTGAGTATCGAAAATGTTCAAAAATTTAGTATTTCTGCTTATATGACGGCGGCGGCTTACGCCTCTAGATGTGGTAATATCCGATTGCGTTATGGAAAAGCAAACAGCGGGAAAATTCAATCAGCGAATAATACGAGGGAAATTTATACCACGTACCATGTGCTGACATAGTAATTAAAAGAGAAGAAAAAAATCGAGGTGAAAGATACTATGGCAGATATTGGTTTCTACACTTTCCTTTTAATTTAATTTACTGGTAATAAATTTTATCTGCTGACCATTTCATTTATTTCACTGACCACTTAAATAGTAGCCCACATTTATTACTGTTGATTATCAGCGATAACTATACAATGTGCTGCGTAGAAAGCGCGTCGATGTAGATGCCACTGCAGACTACCAGCGATATTATGGCTGTCTTTTGTTTTTGTAGAACTCACATATATTTTCAAAAAAAATGGTGAGTGTAAGTTTAAAAGCGAGTTTTTGCGACTACCCACTCTCCCCCTCCCCATTACAGACATTAATTAGGTTAAAATTGTGCTAATTAGAAGCGTGAATAATTAGACTGCTATTTCTTCCTTTTTTAATTACAGATGACACGAAAAATGCAATGCTTGCCCATTACAAACCATAGCAACTAGTCTCTGCCATTGTTAAATATACGAGCTAACAATTAATATTCCATTGCAGACATAAGCAAATAGGCAATGACCTAATTATAGGTTTTGGAAATCAAGGTAGATTTTCCAGATGAACTATTTTGAACTATTTTAGTAAGCCTAAGGGGTATACGTATGTGAGTTCCACATTTTAGCCCCAACGGAACTGCGCTAAAAAGCTTTCTCATTTTTATTTTTATTTTTCTTAAATCGAAGTTCTATTTTTTGCAATCTTTTTAAATTAGAAAAAAAGGATATTGCTTTTTGCATATTTTCAGCAGAAAAGGAATATGACTTCTGTAGAATAAAGTCAATACTAATCTTGTGTTTGACTAAATCTATCAGAGTTTATTTGTATTGTAGAGTGTTCGTATTTTTTGTGTGAAAACAAATTGGATAATTCGAATGGCCAAGCAAATCAACCAAAACTATCAAGAAGAAATGTTACAAATAATAATTTAACATCTAATGGAACAGAATTAACAACATGTCTTTGGTTATGCTGTGATATATGTATATAGAGAAGGGTTTTTTTGTTACAAAAATAATTATTATTGATACTAAAATTCAAAATAGGTCAGTATTTACTAAATAACTTTTAACGATATCCTACAGAGATCAATATTTTGTATACTTGTCCACATTACACGATGAATCGAACGAAATCAAGACTACAGACAGTTTTTATGAAGCGTTTCCTTTGGGACAATACTTGTCCATGAAAGTACGTATGACTAAATTATAAAATTTTCACTGTTTTTGAAAATTGTGAAAATATTTGATAAAACCCAGTGAAAGATATTCGCTGATTTCAATCAAATTATTGTACAATAAAATCCCATCAGCAATCGCATTGATAATTTCGATTTTAATCGACTGCCATTTAACCCAAATTTAATGTGATTGCTAGTCCCGGTGTAAATTAGTTTAATTGAAATCGAACCGTTGTCCAGTAAATCTACATTGTCAATCTATTGATAATTTGAATTGTGCTATAGAACGATCAGATTTTGATCAAACTAATTTCCACTGGGCCAGCAATAACATCAAGTTTGGGCTAAATGGTGATCGATTATAATCAAAATTATCAATCCTATTGCGGATTGGATTTTGTTGCACAATAATTTGATTGAAATCAGCGAATATTTTTCACTGGGAAATCTTTAGAGTTTACATTTTTCTCATATTCCTAAAGCACTAGAAAATATTCAAAAAAAAGGACCGATACGTCAGCACTGGGTGTTCTTTTTAAATGCATGTGACGTAATTCGCTTTCGTATTATGAAACCGACAGAAACGATACTTCTATTGCGTGACGGTGTCCTTTTTGTTTCTGTGCGATCAAGCGTGACCACTCTCTCGTATATAAGGGAATGTCACTGAAGAAAATGTACGCCTAGAGATGTGCAGATAGCACAATACACAATCATGAAGACGGGCATAGGTGACACTCTATATTCGTCACACATGTGAAGCATGTTAAATAAATTTTGTCGAATTGTACACCATTCAAATGCAGACATAGCATTCTCTCTAAACAAGGCTGATCGATCGCAAAATTTTATGATAAATTTATCACATTTAGTTTTCATAATAGGCCAACTATCACTGAATTTAAAAAACTTCTACAAATAAGACGGCCTTCTATGGTGTAAATCAAAAAAAGAGTAATAATAAGAGCAATGGTGACGATTCACTTGATTCAAATTCGAGTTGTTCATCAACATTAAAAAGACGGAGCTCAAAATAAAAATCTCTTAATGTTTGTATTCGTATCACTCTGTTTATACTATTCGAATATGAATCATATTGTAATACATTTTGATTGTATGTTTATTTTTTGTAATTACTATAGGGTTGTTGCGCAGTGAGAAAAATTGTTGAAGGCGCTACAGTATCCTATTTTTTTGCTTCTTTCTTTGCATATGGAAGTAATAGTTGATGGTTATTTAAACACATTAAAATATTATGAAGGAAAATGAAAAAACGCTTTTCATAGACGTTGTGTTTCAGTTGGGGTAATTTATATTTAATTTTTTTCTGATTTGATAGATTGTAGTTTCTCTGCGACATTTTATGTTTCTTTTTCGTTCTATGTTTGATTACATTATATAGGTTATATCCCCTCGATGAATATGGTTACTGTAAACATCAACTTTTCTTCTCTGTTTTGATTGCACTATTTAACGAAGGCAAGAAAAAGAAGAATAAGGTAATATATGCCAAACTTGAAACTGGAGTTCAATTGAAAATTTTCAACTTTTAAACCAATAGCATGCTGAAGAATCGTGATTCACACATATATCGCTATGAGTTGAAAGTTGAGATTTTCTATTTTCAACTGAATTCAAGTTGCTAGTTTGACACTACTGGGTAACTGATAGTTGCGGTAACTCGACAATTCATCGCGGCCAACCAATTATGTGACATCAAATTCTTGAGATGGTACGAAAGGATCGATATGTCACTTTCCGTGGCCGTGCGCCAGCCTCCATATAAGACAGCAAACCTCATATTTACAGGGCCAGAGCTACGTATTTAGGCGTACATTCATGTAGCTGCCGTTAGCCTCCCATTGGTACGTGCAGGCGCATCTAGCTTCCCGTTGGTGTCTGTGGATCCGCCTAAATGCGTAGATATGACCTTGAAATTATGACGTTTGCTCTCTAGGATTGAGGCTGGCTCACGTCTACACAAAGTGGCATATTAATCCTTTCGTAAGATCTCAGAAATTCGGTTTCATGCAAGTAGTTGGCCGCGACGAATTGTCCTTTGGCAAATTTACCTATCATCGATAGTTCCAAGTGATAAATTTAATTTTCCTTTTGTGGAACTTATTTAAAAGAAGATTTGTAAGTAGTTCACTTATTCAGCTAATTTGGAAGAGTGATACAGATTCCACACATATTTGTCTTAATTTCGTAATTTTCTAAAAAGTGTTTAACATTAAAAGAAATTCTTTTTTTCAGACTGTGACTTCAATATCCTCGCCGTTTAATTAGCGCAATAAATTTCGAATGGCTTGTGCATTAACAACAAATGCAGGTATGATGTTTTAGTATTTGTAACATTTTTTTATATTATGGTGAGAAATGATGGTCGTAAATATTTTATGGACATTTTCAAAAATTTAATGAAGAGCAAAGTTCGAATTAACAGCAATGTTTTCATTGTAGACCACGAATCTGCTTTGAAAATTCAGAGTGCATTTCGTAGTCATCAAGCTCGACTTAAATTGAAAAACCAAGCAGTACGGCAAACACATGAAAAACTTGAGTATTCCAGTGAACAAACTCAAGCAAAGGTATTCAGTTTTTTTCAGAATAATAGAAGTATTTTAAACTTCTTTATTATTCTTAGCTTAGAGATTTATTTGTAAAATTGATTAATTCATCCGATTTACTTTCTCCATCTGTGACAAAATTACTTCAACAAGCTGGATTGCCTGTTGGTAATGCACTATTTTAAAATAAAAGGAACAAATGATAAGTTTTATTTGATATAGAGGAAGAAGAACTTCTAAGATCTACAAATCCGGATAATATTTCAGTTGAATCTAGTTATCAAGGACCATGTAATTGATTTTTTTATTTTCAAATTAATGATTCATTTGTGTCTGTTTTTTAGGTATCGAAGGCCCAATTACAGGAAACACACTTATAGATTTGATTGAAGCATTTCGACAAGGACAAGTAAGCGACACAACCGAACTCGGGACTCTCTATGGAAGATTAGGAAGATGACGTAGTTTAAAAAAAGTTTTTTCTGTCCACAGAAAATCGGCCACTGAAGCAAAGATGATAGAATGATTCAATCATTTTATGTTTTGTTGACACTAAGGATGCAACGGTGACGATGATTCATCGCCCACCGGTTTATCGTAACACCGTTCATCAGTCGATGGGCATCCCAGGTCGATCAAAACGGACCACCGTAAACCGGCGTAACAATACCGTAAACGGCCGTATTACTGCCCCTGTTATACGGGGAAAATACGACACGCAAAACGGGCCGTATTTGTATCGTATACGACCGTTTACTGATCGTTTTCTTTGACCGGGGATACACGTTGCATTGCGAGTATCGGTTATGATTTGCTGTGATTGAAGGTACACGTTGAATCGGTGTACATCTAGCTACTGAGATGTGTGATCGAATTTCTGAAACTGCGTAAGTTGTTCACATGTACTGATCATCTGATGATTGATAGACTAAAGATTGAAAGTGCTGTCAAGGTAAGATAGTTTTATGGCCCCAAAACTGATTATTTTTTATCTTTGCATGCGTATTATTATGTTTGTACAATAAGCTCACATGGTCGTAAGAATATTTTAATAGTTTCTGTTCAAATGGTTGTTTCTCTCTAAAAATGTTCGATGCTCAAAATCCGCTTTGTTTCCAGGAAAAACAAAGGAGCGCTTGAATGATGAGTAATCCGATCGTGAGTCAATCATTTTGGCTGAAACCTTTAGGATATTTTTAGAGTTCTGTCAACTATTTATAGGCAAAACTCCAAATCACAAATCTTTCTTTCTTAATTTCGTTATAAATGCGGTTTTTCATGGTAATGACAACTCACCCGAGCTCTTTTGAGAACGTCTATAGATCGCAATTCTAAACTAATTGAATATCTAACGACTTTACGTGAATGAGTCTTAATATATCATTTTATGACTGATTGGAATGTTATCTACGATAAATTTTATGTTACAGAAAAGACGTGATCACTTTAATCTACAATATGTCCAAATAATTTTTGTACAGAAATACTTTCTCTCTCAACTATCTCTTATTCGATGGACATAATTATTATACAAAAAATAGTTAACTGTTTATGCAATCATCATAATTTCTATCTTATCCTATAAAAAAAAAGAAAATTCAAAATGATTGTTTGAGTGAATCAGAGCACAATTTATATATCTAAAGTCTGTCATTGTCGATAGGTTCTACATGCAAAATATGTGTGTAAAATTCTTCATCAAGCGCGTGTCATACTTAAAAGTTTACCAAATTTCAATCGTATTGTTTTATCTGATGTACATCATGTGTTGATTATTGGCGATCTTCATGGACAATTAGCTGATCTATTACATATATTCAATGAGGTGAACTAAAATATTGATAAGAGATGTTTTTCATATTCTATTTGATTCATATATAGAATGGACTACCGGGAACTGATAATCCATATATATTTAATGGAGATTTTGTTGATCGAGGTGAACAGTCCGTTGAAATTATTCTTTTACTTATGGTTTCTTTAATTCTCTATCCGAATTCATTATTTCTGAATCGAGGTATTTCTTTTATTTTATTATCATATTGTATAATGAAATGGTTTTTATTTTTCTATGCAAGGTAATCATGAAGATATTATGGTTACTGCTCGATACGGTTTTCAAAAGGAAGTTACTAAAAAATATCAAGTTAGTTTATAGTTTAGATAAGAAATTAGTTCATCGAAAATATATTTAGCCAACTCAAAAACCATTACTTGATCTATTCAAAGATGTATTTAGTTGGTTACCAATGTATTCATATGTTAAAACAGGAACAACTAGAATTATTATCATTCATGGAGGAATATCTGATCGTATTGATTTAACAACAATAAATAGCCTTAGAAGAAATCGATGTAAAATTAAAAATAATAAACGTATCTTACATTTTAACTATAGTATTCTTGTTTATTAATTTGTAGATGTTTCAGTGGAAGTACCACCCAAATCTGAACATGGTGGAGCACGCTTGACTGCAGAAGAAAAGAACGAATATCATCAGGTAGAAGGTAATAATAATAATAATAAAATACTCCGATGTATTTGACATGAAATATATTTTTAGATTTATTGTGGAGTGATCCGGATCCTAAAGGTCTTAATGGAAGTCGAAAAAATGATAGTAGAAACATTGGCTGTTTTTTTGGTTCGGATATAACAGATCAGTTTCTTGAAAAGAATAATTTTTCAATGCTTATTCGTTCACATCAAATCAAAGAAAATGGCTATGAATTTGCACATCATCGCAAAGTTATAACTGTTTTTAGTGCATCGAATTACGAAAGAGGTTTTAATTCGGGCGCAATCCTACGTTGGTTTGTAACTATGACAGTGATTTTTCTTTTTTTTCTAAAATTCAAATTTAATTTAGGAGTTATAACGAAGACGAACCACAGATAATCCAGCATAAACTTCGAGGTGCTCAAGATATGCAATCATTAAGTTTTGCTAAACAGTAAGATAATCGAGATCAAGCTATGCGCATTTTATTATTTTGCTTTAAGAGTAACATTATTGGCAGATCCAGTTTATCAATCATTAATCGAAAAGATTATGGCAAAGAAGAGTTCACTTCAAAAAGAGTTTTACAAAGCAGATAGAAATCGATCGGGTATTCAAATTGCAAATGCATTTCTACTAAATATAATTTTCGTGTTCCTCTAACTAGCTCATTTACCTGTGATTGTTTGGTCTAAAATAATGACGAATGTACTTGAAACTGATTTACCTTGGCTTGCTTTACGTTCAAAACTTGTAGAAGAAGATGCACAAGGAATTCGATATAATACAATGTTTGATGGATATGCTTTAGAAAATACAAAATTTCAAATAGTATTTTAAGAAAAAAGTTGAAACTATAGACTTAATTTATGCTCTAATTGTTTTAGTCGAATACAGGCATTATGGAAGATTTATATATGTGGAAAGATACCCTATTGATGTTATTTAATTTAATTGATTCGAATCATTCAGGTAGAGTTAGTTTTATTTTGTAGAATATGTTTTTATTCGTTGTATATCATAGGTTTCATAAATGCTGAAGAATTTGCTGATATTATTAAACTTTTACTTTCTGATGAAGATGGTGCCGGCAATGTTACTCAAGAATATATTGATGAACTTTGTTCTGCTATTGATCTTGATGGAAATGGAAGAATTGATGCTAATGAATTTCTTGGTAAGATATGAATACGAAGTTCGCGTACAGCCAGTTGGTATTTTTGTTAGATTTGTGAGAGGTCGAAGGCAAAATTCTTACATTGTTTTCGTGGAATTAGAAAAATAAAAGAATATGACTTTTGTAAAATGAAGAGAAAAATTTATCAAACTAATCCTCTTTTAGTAAAATAGAGTATATTTGAATTTTTTTACATTTTAGAGAGCTTTCGAATTGTTAATTCAAAGAACTCACAAAATTTCGATCGGCAACCAAATACACGTAGACTATAATCTATTCATACTAAAACCAATAAATTACAATTAAATGGTATTGAACAATAAAATACGCTTTTAAGATACTACGCATATCAAGATAATTGTACGCACAAATATTTATTCCTCAACTTTATTAAATATGAACAAATTAATGCCTCTTTTCCTTTTTCTTTTTACATTTCTAATTTTCTTCATAGAGAAAAACATATATTTTATTCATAATCAGTTTGATTTATTAATAAATATAGAAAAATGATAAAAATCAATCTGTTTGCTCCAAAGTTTGTTCGATAAGGCTTCCCTGCATATGGCAGAATTTATAATATGATAGATCTCGTAAGGCCTTCATACGGATTCAGACTATTGGTTGAATTATATTTTGCATCTCGACCCTATCAGCACTTATTATTTTGACAATAAGCTATTTTAATGCGTTTTAATAATGGCTTCGAATATTCGGTATAGGTTTTTTATTTAAATTTAAGGCAATGTGATCAAATAAAAAAGTGAAATAATGGATTATCACTGGCAGAGTAACAACTGTCAGATATTTCATCCAGATTTGACGTACTAAATTAGATCGAGTTCAATCCATTAGAAATTCTAATGTCAACTATGACCTATTTACAGATTCGGGTGTGGATGACATGAACGAGTCTTCTTCTAGCTCGCAACCACACCCACCACTCTGTTTTAATTTCGTGCAACGGAATGAATAATCGTAGCTTTAGTTTCTTAGGTCACTGCAACGTATATGGACGAATGATTTTCATTCATTCATGTATCTCGTCAAGTTGTTTTTGGAGCTTAAGATTGAGGTTTGTTCTAGCACAATTTTCTGGGCGAATCCGTCTTAAACAACTCGAATCTAAATCCGAGATATCCTGCTTAAAAACAAGATGGTTGAAAAAGGTCTTGACATGCATCTCGTGGTTGTCAGAGAGCAAATATTTGACTTTCTAAATACGAAACACACATAAATTAATACTATTCTTACAATGATGACGGAACAAAATTTATATCTTATCTCTACGCGTGCAAACGAATACAGAAAAAGAACAACACACAATCAGCACAAATGTTTAAGCGAGTATTATTTATTTTGAACTTATGTTCGATTACTTTGTCTTGGTATTCGTGCCCGTTTAATGATGGATCATTCAATAAAACAATCGTAGACAAGGTCATAATCCAAGCTGAATGCACGTATTTGACTAGTCCACTTGAATGGGGTGAATTTAATCCAAATACGTTTGATGGTTTGTACTATAATTCAACAAAATCGATTCCACTCACTGATCTGCACATGAAACGCTTGTTTTTACTAAATTTACCGCCACGAAATACTTCAACAGTGAAACATATAATCAACTATTGGCTTCTCGATGGTGCTGGCGGTTCTCAATTTTTAATGGAATCATTTGGAATATCTATGTTGAAACAAATTATTTTGAATCATTACCATGAGAAGTATCATCAGGCGCATCCAATTATGTATTTATTTCAGTACAGAGGAGCGGGATTAAGTAAACCATCGATTCACTGTCATACGGCGACAACTTGGATTGATTATGCACAAGAACTAATTCAAACCACAATGCCAACATCAGTGAATGAATCATTGAGAATAATTCATGCAATGTCAAATCAAAATATTGCTCAAGATTTACAATACCAAATTCAATATTCAATTAATCAATCACAAACGATATGTCCAACATCAACTTATATATATGGGCTAAGTCAAGGTAAAAGAGAATAGATAGAAAATTATTTTCGTTTGCGACAAAAGTAAATGAATCAGTTTAATCCCATCGTGATGTCATTAAAACTTTGTTAATCTTACTCAACTTTCTTAAAATATCATATTTAGTGACATAGCCAGAAACTCGTTACAAGGGGACAAAAATATCGTTTCACTCGGGGTTCACGCCCGCTCACATCGACTGGATGGACTAGATACTCGCCGGTGCAGATAATTTTCTTTTCTTTTCCATTATAGGTACAGGTATTATTCAATATTATCTATCAATTCAATCGATCAATGTTCAATTACAACAAATCAACGGAATAATTCTCGACGGGGTTTTGTCAATAACAAAGGGCGATATGTTTGAAAATCAAATAAAATCGGTAAGCAATCGATTTTATATGTACCTATCAAAATGTCAAAATAATATTCAATGTTTGAAAGCCTTCAATCTTGTTACTGGTACCAATCAAGATATTATAGGTGTAACATTAACATTGCAAATGCTCTTTTTGACAAATATGACTAATCCTCTCTGTACGACTAACTTGGGATTGAATAGTTGGATGTTATTTTCTCTGGTTGCCAGTCAAGGCATCGAACTTATTACTACTCGGCCTCTTGCCGCCATTCTCATTGCTCGTGTATATCGTTGTTCTACGGAAGATCAACGATTTTTATCTCATGGGTTGCCAATTTTGATTGCAATGGCTCAACAATCCTTCTTTCCACAATTGATCGATCCACCCTCTAGGTATCCAGCTGATGGCATGGTTATAAGCATTGTAACAGTGTGGAGTGACTTTGTTGGCTTCACTTTGGAGGAAAGTGTCAAAACAAATCCGAATTTTTACAATGATTTTTGCATTAATGTCGATGTTGCCAATGCATTTTCGTTGGCACCACTTGGTCCAATGCCAATTTGTCGTGAAACACAAATATCAAAATATAATTATTCTGTACCGTCAGTATTTCGAGATATTTTGCATTAAAAAAATCCGCGTTATTGGGGTAATTTTCAAATCAATCCAGACATATTTCGTTCGCGGAACGGTAGTGTATTGATGTTGAACGGCGATTTAGATTACAATACACCGATGTATAGTGCACAACAAACTCAACTATTATTTCAATCAGAACATATTGAAACAAAATTGATAGAAATGAAAGATCTAACGCATGTTACTAGTTTTCAATCGTACCCAAAAAATGCTGTAGTTGAATCGACAACATGCACAGATCAGATTATAGTTCAATTTTTGTATCAACAAGAATTGAATTTAGATTTGGAAACAATCGATTGCAATTGTAGTCTGAAAGAAAATCTGTTTGGAATCGATTGGTTTTATTCGAATCCGGTTGTGAATGAAACATTATATCGCTTGTTTGGCAATTCAACAACAAATTATTGGGGAATAAATATAACATCGCAGGCAACAGTAAAACCAATTCAAAATAAATCGAGTAGATTGCCATTTGATCGATCATTCTTTATTCTGTTAAGCATAACATTTCGGTGTTTTTATTTGAACGTCACTGAATAAAATAAAGTACTGTCTTAAACTATGTTGCGATATTTAACATGAAGCTAACTTTTGACAGCTTCCTCAATGCACGAAAGCGACACTTTTAACACTCGTGGTCAGGAAACATAAATTTTATAGGACATTTTCGATTACGTTGTGATTATGCTTGCTCTATCAGCGTGTATCATAAGATATTGACATGAAGTTATTTTATATGGACGTGTGTGTTTGGAGTGTACGTAACGATTATTATTAGTTTTGAAACAGAACATTTCTAAAAACGTTATTACCGTGTTGTCATCGTATTTGAATCAATACAGTAAATGTTAATCGCATATTCCCCTGCAAGTATTGAAAGAAGATCTATGTAACTATCTCAATTTTGTTCATATAAAAAGAAAACAAGAATTGGAATTATGTTAATGTCAGTCATAAGAAATAAATTAATGATTTAAACAATGTTAATGTTGCTCATGAAGACCAGAACAAGCATTCAAAACAATTCTTTCTATCAGCCCAGAAATTTCGCTCACAAGACTGAAATCGAAGATTGAAAATATCATAGATCAAGAAATAGGTATTGTCGTTTTGTATTTTATTTTAATTCGTTAAAAAAATTATCAAAGTAAAAACTAACGGTGCGAGTATGAATGGCATCTTCGTGAACACCGACAATTCAAAATCATCATTGTATAGATTCAATATTTACCCACTTGT